AAAGAAGGAAAGAGGATCAGAACCATATAAACCATGTCTCAATGTTGTGGAGTTACCTGGTATGAGAATATGGGGAATAAATTATCTCCGAAACGTTGTTATCCAGAAAATGATACTTTCCTTTCATTGCATTGGAGCCTAAATGCCGATAGAGGTCGAACAGTTCTATCCAATAAAACAACAAAGAATAACAAGTATGTCAATCAATAGTAATAACTACCACCGGTTGTTCAAGAAGTAGCTATCGTTCCTCTGTGGCATAGTGGATAACGCCTTGACGTTTGAAGCGATGGATATGAGGTTTGAGTCTCAGTGGGAACAACACCACTCACTGAAGTAGAGTTACATGCAGCTGACGAGTCCCAAATATTACGAAACTTGCGTCATCGATCGGTCAGTTTGAAATGTGCTGTACGAATGCATTGCACGATTCAGACACTTTATATCTAATTACTTCTGTTTTCTAGCCCTTTTTCTTAAGAAGAAAACTTATTTATTGGATGGTTATGTGAATATTTTTGGAAGCATTGTTTTTATGGCACTCTAAATTTCCTATTGCGTTGGTACTACCGGATATTCATAATGTTATATTGTTCTTGGTAAATAAGTGAGGAATCCAAGACACGTGTTTTTGCCTTGTTTGCGACTCATCAACTGGATGTTCCTATCCCCCACTAAGTAACGTAATGTAAAACTAACAAAGAACAATTCAATATGAAAGAATTGTTTTTGACGAATCATTTTTATAAGTTGTACAATTTTACTTATAGCTTCAACAGAAATATATGTCCATCATTAGGTAACGGGTCAGTACAAGGTCGTCAATAAAGTTACTAGGTGGTTATGGCTATATGGGAGATTGTGATCGATGCGAAATTAGAGATTGAACATACCTCTTTTGAACGCCTGAACCGATGAATTGTCACAGCTATCTAAAGGTGATCCATCATTAATACAGTTAGAACACAGGCAATATTGAGGCATCCGCATTGGAGCCCATATGCCAATACAGACCGATCAATCCTGTCCAATCAACGACGGTATCATATGAAAACAATTATACTAAAACTATACCCGTCGCACAAAAAGTGGCTATCGTGGCTCGGTGGTGTAGTGTATAACGCCCTGGCGTTTGAAGCGATCGCTCCCGAGTCCCAGTCCCGGTGGGAACAACATCACTCACTGGGAAGCAGGTACATCCAGCTGACAAGTTCCAAATAGGAGGGAATGCACATCCTGGATTCCACTGCTAGCCACGACCCATCATTAATCTAAAGGAGAGTTTAAGGCGATTTACAGCTCAATTCTTGTTAGCTCTGTTCTCTCTGCTTCATCAAAATTTTCCTTCTAACCATAATCACTTTGTGACAGTGTTGTATGTTTATTGTTACTGACTTTGAGCGTGATGTGATTGATTTTAACGGTAGTAAGTACTTTATTTTTCGTCCTCTGGATTATTGTATTCATATCATGGAACTGTGGTTCATTGATTTAGGGAGATGAGTACTGACTTATGGGTCACTGGTTCGAGCATCACTACACCTACTGAAGTTTGGATAACCAGGTAGTGTCATTAGCCGTCACACAATTGGAGATGTGGCTCATTGCCTACAACTACACGAATGTGCATAAGGTTGTTGAGTGCATCGTCAATTCAATTTCCTCTTGGTATTGTACAAACTTGATTGAGTAAAATCTGGATTTCGTTGTATATAGTATTACTATTTTTTAACATACTTGTTATTCTCCGTTGTTTTGTTGGATCGAATTGTTCTACCTCGTCCTGGATTCTTCTGCTATCCACAACCAACCAAATTATCATAATTAACATTCAGGTAATATCGAGGCATCTGTATAGGAGCCCATTTGCCAATAGAGGTCGAACAGTTCGATCCAATAAAACAACAAAGAATAACAAGTATGTCAATCAATAGTAATAACTATCACGGGTTGTTCAAGAAGTGGCTATCGTTCCTCTGTGGCATAGTGGATAACGCCTTGACGTTTGAAGCGATGTATATGAGGTTTCGAGTCTCAGTGAGAACAACACCACTCACTGAAGTGGAGTTACATGCAGCTGACGAGTCCTAAATAGGTAGAAACGCGCATCCTGGATCCATCTGCCAGCCACAACCAACCAAATGAGTACACTGAGTAGTTTAGTTTGAAGTCCATTTTTTTGCATTTTGTTACCCGGATTATTTTTACTCCATCCGTTTTTAACTTTATCAAGTGTAACTCAACTACTAGGTGCAGATGTATGCACTGTGTTCTTTTGCAGACGTCCTTTCTGTTTATGTGAAGGCTTATGATATATTAACCGACCTATCCGAGTTGAATTGTAGTTAGTGCTACTGATAAGGATGCATATAAGTAGTATATGTAGCGACATTGAAAGTGACGACGAATGGCTGAAGAATCAGTCAAAAGGAGCATACACTACAGCACAACAATAAAAAACATAAAAAAGTGAGCGCAATATCGTACAGAAAACAAGATAATTTGCAAATGGATAGATTCTAGGTAAGTGTAGAAGTATCATTAGTATTTTCTAAATGAACGACCTCAAATGTACATAAGACTACAATAGCGGTGTCTTTGCCTGCATTCGAGATGAAGAGATACCTGAATTGATGGCTTTCGATGAAGATATTCAGACCTTGAGGGTTTTACGGAGCAGCTAGTGAAAGTGCCGAATATCGAACCCGGGGCCCATTGCATGGAAAGTGAGTATCATACCATATTATACTTTTTTTTCCGCCTGAACCCTCATTCATCTACCCTTGTCTCTTTCCAAGTCGATGTATTAACTACTACTATACATTCTTATAAGTAGCTTCAATTACAGAAGTAGGTGAAGAGGGTTTAAAGGAGAAACCAATTCTTTGTAAGTCAAATAAGCCGCATCTCCTCAGTAATTTTTCATTCAGAACGCACAAAACTCAAATGTTCAAGTTTGATGGAATTCATCGACCTTTGTATGACAACATACTTCTGATTCAACGACAAGATGTACTAACAGATGAAAGGAACTCCAGTGGGATCACCGATAGCCGGATTAATTGCAGAAGCAATGATTCAGAGACTGGTAGCCATCATTCTACCTGTGATTCAACCAAAAATTTGGATTCGCTATGTGGACGACACTCTTGTCATCATTAAAAAGGATGGTATACATAACACACACAGTTTGATCAACAAATTCTTCAATGACATCAAATTCACAATAGAGAAGCAGTCAAACAACCAACTACCATTTCTGGATGTTTTAGTCAGTAGGACAAATGCCTCGAACCTGGAAACCCAAGTGTACAAGAAGCAAACACACACTGACCAAATCCTCAGCTACAATAGCAACAGCCTAGCAACATGCGAAATCAGTTGCGTGCAGACTCTATTCAGAAGAGCGAGAACAGACTGCAGTAGAACAGCGTGACACAGAAAGTTACTTGATGTCCACCCTAAAGAAGAACGGCTACCCACGAAACTTTATCAGAAGATGCCTATCCCCTACATCATCAGCTACAAAGTCATCAACAGAAATCAATAAACGCATCATCCTACCACACAAAGAATGTATCAGAAATCACGAATTGGTGTGGCTCATAAACCAACAAATTCCCTCCAAACACTATTATGCAGACCAAAGAATGCAACAACCAAAGAAGACAAACCGAATATGATTTACAAAATCAACTCAAATAACTATAGTCAACACTACATTGGACAAATGGTCGCCTCTTCGCCTTGGTCTACTTGAGCACCAATTGGCTATTAAACGACACACAAAACATTTCGTCACTCATATCAATGCACGTGGATAACAACTATGGAGATGAATTCAATTTCGACAATGTAGAAATTTTGGACGGAGAGAGGGAAGACAAAGAATATCAGAGAATTCCTAGAAGCTTGGCATTCAGATCAGTCAGTCAGTCAATCAGTCAGTCAGCAATCAACAGATGTGTAGACATAGACCCAATCTATCAACCAATGAGAAAGGTGATAGACGACAGAAAGGTCAGAGGTCAAGCAGAGGGACAGCCAACAGGAAAATCTATACAGTCAATGAAACAACAATCGAAGGGATCATCGAATCACAGACCGCGTCGTTGGAGTAAGCCACTAAATCACTCACAGAGAAAAATTGACAGGTCATTTCATACTGAAGTTAGTGGTGATGATGTTGTCTAGAAGGACGATGAAACCTTTACGATTAAACAACCCAGCTTAGACAACACAATACAACCAAGACTTTTCAATCATAGTTGACTTCTTGTATGAGTTTCTAAATTATGAAGCATATCAACATCATCTAGTTTGAACAAACTGATGTTGTACCATATCATAACGGGAATTGTTAATTTTTTACCTTGAGTTTCATATTTCTACTACCTTCTCTCACGTATAAATTCGTTATCGTACTCAGTCTTTTTGTAAAACTATATACTTCATCAGTTGTTAATATGATTGTTTTCTGTTTTTGGTTCACTTAATCTGATTGCTTATCTGGTTTTTCTTGATTCATTACCGTTTTAATTGGTAAAACTTCATATATACCTACATATAAAGGTTATAGTGTGCTTGTGCTGTTTCACGTTGATATTTAACTGACGAGATTGTATCTTCTACTGTCTGGTTAACAGTAGGGTTTGCGACTGTTGTCATGTTTTAGTCTGGTCACCCTCAAGCCTCTCCCAACTCTTATCAATGATAATCCTCATAGAATATATATACATTTAGTAATGAATGTGTAAAATGAGTTTCAGTTTTATAAAATAGCCGTATTGATCAATAGACATCTAGTTATCACTGTTTTGGTTATTGTCTATCAGTGAACAGATGCGCTAAATTTCTGTCACCATTGATATACACTTTTTCAAGTTATCACTATCTTTCCATTGTCTAGCCTTTAATTGGACTACGATATATATATATATATATATATATATATATATATATATATATATATATATATATATTGTCTTTCTTGTTTTTAGATTGCTACTTTATCTGGAACCCCTGAATCTGGTAATCATATAGATCCACTAAATACATCGCCTCAAACATTGAATTCTTGTAAGTTGACCTTCTTAGATCATTGTATATGTTACCGTTCCCTTCAATCACTTATTTGATGTACAGTGAATGGATGTATTGTATTATCTTTTGTAATTTAGAATGTGAAACTATTAACATCCACAGATTTATCGTCTCTTAGATGTAGGGCGTACGTGCGTCAGTTATCCTATAAGTATGTTGTGTTGGCTCAGCAATACTTTCAACCTGTTTAGGCATCCTTTCGTACATACGGTCAGCGACGTCAGCCAACCTGTCAGTGTCAATGTCCGCGTCTCTGACAGCTAATGTCTGTTAAATACATGAAGGAAGTCTCCGCAGTTATAGATGGTAGACTAAACGGTCGTCTACGTTCCTATCTTCCAGCAGACTTTGAATATGTCACTTAAGTTGTGAAGGTGCTGTCACCGAGGCATGCGCTAGTTAGCAGTTGATCGACAGCCTTCTGATCAGATAATGAAGTAACTTTCAGCACTTTTTGCTTCAAAACATCATAAAGTGTCTGGGTCGGGCTTTAATAGTGTCTCTCTTACTTGTTCAGCCACTTCTTCCGGCAAAACAGAGCTCGTGTATCCGAACTTTGTGTTTTGTGAAGTTATATGATTGACTGTGAAGAAGTGTTCTAGATGGACAAACCACAGTTGCGGTCATTAAACATAAAACAAGGTATCGAAAGATTAATGACACCCACGAACCCTGCATTCGAAAAGTGTTGATTATGACAGTTTAAGGACATCAGTACTGATACAGCAAAAAAACGTTTTTAAGAACTCAAAATAACTAGAGTAGAAAAAATACAATAAAGTATGTCAATGCCGACTACATAGCAGGTGGAGATATTCTTAGTATATATATCCGTATTGTATACAGTTATTTATGACTGTGGTTTCAGTAATCAATTGAAAACAACAATAATATCCACCCGTGAAACTTGCAAGAGTTTAATCACGTCAGGCTCATCAGTTTGTCGAGCTCTGAAATATGACTCCAAATTAATATACGCGTCTATATAAACCATATTATTATTATTTGTCCCTTCGTTTCCTAGTGGAACATAGGGTGTCAGTAGCACGTCTCCATTCCACTCTCTTCTCTGCGATCTTTTGAACCTGGCTCCATGATAGCCCAGAAGCTCTCATTTCTTCCTCACACCATCTCCGCCATGTCATCCTCAGCTGGACACCTAGCTCGTCGTTTCCCATTTGGGTTCCACTCGAGGGCGTGGTCTGGCGTGTGATATCCCTGAATGGTCTTCTCAGTGTATGCCCAATCCATCTCAACTCCCTTCCAGTGCATATTTGTTGGGTGATAGGTTCTTGCTTTATTGGTTCGTTGCCAGAGTGAGTTCCTTGTTGCTTATAATTTCTGGACATCTGATCTCATCTTCAGTATCGAATGAGTGTAGGCGGCAGCTGTTGATGTATGTCTATAATTTGTTGGAAATGCTTTTCGTGACGCACTAAGTCTTTCAGCCATAATATGGAAGCACTGACTTACATTGATTGGCATTGGTGTTGAAAATTCGGATGTTGTTCATGCTTCATACTGAGTGCGAAGATCTCCACACTGGTTTCAGATTAATGAACGCCTGTCTTGCTATCTTTCTGATCTTGGCCGGCTTTGACATTCTCGTCTGTGCCTATACCGCTTATAGTTGAAGCGATGCTATCTAGATAAGGTGAAAGAGCCTACTTCTTTTAAGTTTCTCCCGTTCATGGTGATTGGAGCTTGTTGTTGTTGGTATTGATGATGGAGTGGAGATACACTATCGCCTGTTTATAATTCTTGATACTGTTGATCCATCTGCATCAGACAGTGTAAATATCAAGAGTTAACTCGAAGTATATATCAGGATGTTGTATTGGTCAACTAGCGAGTATAAATGAATGTTTTTTATCAGTACAATTAAACAAAAAATGTTCAATATATCAATACAGTAGTGAAATAGAATACTTCAAGTTATTTTCAGTTAATATTTAGTTAAATTACAGTAATTTTCATTAAAATTAACCTTTGTAAATGTCTTTATGATTTCTGAATTTTGTTCAATATTTTTCTAGAATTAATTTTTGGAATCTATACTCTGTTTGTTCATTCATTGTCCTAGATGTTTTTTTTTTTAATATTTTATATCTCAATTTGTATTAATTAACATAGTTTAAAGGTGAATATTTATTACTCAACTGCATGATTTCATTGGTGTTTTTTTTATGTTAACTTGAATGATCTTTTTGACTAGCAGAGGAATGACCGATGCATATTTTGTCCTATTCCAACTTGTTAGCTGAATGTACCTCCACCTAAGTGCTGAGTGATTTTGTTCCCATTGAGGCTTACACCCAGTACTCTTCGCTTCAAACGCTTTACTGCTAAGGCATAATAGACACCTCTTGTTTTAATCATATTCGTAATTTCTTGTTGCTATACGAGGCAGAATTGTTCGACCTGTCTCCATACTACCGGATATTCATGATGTTATATTGATCTTAATGATTAGTAGAGGAACGCTTTTCGACCTATTTCGAACTCGTCAGCACCTCATTACGGAGTGTTATTCTCACTGAAGTATGTAATTTGTCGTTTCCTGGGACCCAGCTGTAATGATGTCGACTTCACATATGTTGTTACAGATTATTTTTCTTTCCGCACTTCCGACCTTATAATTGTTCATCATCATATTTGAGTTACATAGATGGTATTTTACTACTTGACAGACAGATAGACAAAACCAATATACAGCCTGGCATACATGTGCATGGGTTCAATTTGCCACACCTTGCTAGTAGTATACGAAGAACAGTTGGATAGAATAAGACTGATATCAAAGTGGACAAAGTTGTGCGAGACGATACACGATTTGAATATTTCAGCTTTAGAGGACTTCAAAGAGTGAATACATCTGCACTAATGTGACCAACTTCCAGCCATATTACTAGGAATCCTCCACCATTAATTCCTGTCATATGTAGAACTGTTACCAGCAAGTCTGCACCTCCTAATACTGCTCAGAGAAACAGTTGGGGACTTCATCGACTAGTGCCAACCTGAACCCTCTTCGAATCTAGTCTGAATTCCCCTATCGTGGCAAGTTGAGGTAGGCGATGGGTCAGGATGCGCATTACACGTTCAAGCTACCTTAGTCAACTAAGGTCCACAACCTCTGACTGACTGACTTGCCGTCCTTGCTTAGTACTCTTTGCCTGACCTCTACACTGCTTATGCGAGCAGTGATACGAAGACACCTGGGATCAAAAACTGTGTAACTAATTCATATCTTATTTCACAGTGTCTCACAACTGTACAACATCGCACTGAAGTGCTGCATACTCGTCCTTTGGTATATAGTCAGATATCTCGCCAGTCCACGCCACAGATGACTCAAGTGGCAAGTGCCAAACAGGTATTCTGTATCACAGATGAGGTTTGATCACAAACCAGCTTGTTTGGACTGATACAACTCTCAAAATTAGTGAAGTGGTTGGCGCGCTTCACCTCTTCACCACTGTTTATCATTGAACTCGTAGTGCTTGCATACCGTTCCTGGATTATCATCTTACATTTGACAAGTGCAAAGTGTGTACGAAATGTACCTGGATTTCTGCTCAGCGCGTTCAGAAAGCCCTGCATTTTACCAGGGTCTTCACCCACCAGGACAATATTGTTTGCCTTCTCTAGTCAACCAGATTTCCTGCAGGGAACAGATCAATCCCTACTAGACAAAGATGTGCACAGTTTGTATTTTCATATGAAGCAGTACTAGGATTTGGCTTTTCTTCATTATTCTCGTGCATTAATGTTCAAGTCCAGTATTATGCTCAAGATAGTGGGTCATATGCATTGAAATTATGAACATAAAGAGTAGCATATGAGAGAAATATACTTGTCGCTACGAAAGGCTATGTAGCAATTTCCTCTAGCTAACATAACAACAGGATTTTCGCATATCTCTTCAGGTCCCAAAAATTGTGTGCACAATGTTTTCTATGGCTAATGATTAAAGGTATATGAAAGGTTTAAGATTTTCAGTTTCTATCAAAGCAACACCTACGTCCATAATGCGTTATTTGTTGTCTACTGGACTGTATTTTGAAGAATGTAAACAGCATATACATATTCAAAAAAAAAACTATAAGTAAACAAACAGACAGAATCAACGTATACAAGTGGATCGTTACAAGCTGCCACACTTCATGGTAGTATACAGAGAACAATTGGATCGAAGAAGAACGATACTAAAGTAGACAAATTTTTGTGAGAGAATAAAAAAAATTTGAAGATAAATGTTAACGCGAATATTCAAGCTTTAGAAGACGTCGAAGAGAATAAATCTGCGCCATCATTGTGACCTATTTTCAGCCATGTCACAAGGAGTCCTCAGCCAATAATTCCTGTCGTCTCAGGAATCACACTGGTAGTCTACCGTTCCTTCCATGGCTCACAACAGCAGTCAGGAACGACTGGGAATCCAGTGAAATGCAATCCATATACTTCAGTTAAAGTCATTATAATCCGTTGATGAAAGGTAATAAATGGATTGATACAGATCAATGAAGTTCTATCACAGTGACTTCTCGCTGATAAAAGCAAAGTTTTCATATGTTTATTAATGATGGACAATGACTGGCAAGGGAATTCAGGATACACATTTCGTCCTATTCGAGACTCATAAGCTGGATGTACCTGCTTTTTAGTAAGAAATATTACCCCCACTAGGACTCGAACTTAGAACCCACCGCTTTAAATGATAGAGCGTCATCTACTTCACAAGCAACAACGTTAAAACTGTACCCGTCACACAAGAAGTGACTATCATGAAGTTTGAAGCGAGCGGTCCCGAGTTCGAACCCTGGTGAGAGCAACAACACTTAACGGGAGGCAGGTACGTCTAGTTGGCAAGTCGTAAATAGGATGTAACGCGTTTTCTAAATTCCACTGCTAGCCAATATCTATCATTAGTGTATAGTTCACTCACTGGCAATGTCGAGGCATCTGCTCAGGAGCTTACATGCCAACAGAAACCGATCAATTCGGTCCACTCAACGACGGAATAATACAAGCAACAACATTATCTTCTGTTTGTGTATTGTCAAACTGTCATTTTTGTCGACATGTGACAAATCGAGAAATATAATGCAAAGGATCACGTACTAGTGTGTGTGTGTGGTGGAGACAAAGTTATTGTTTTTGTGTATTAATAATGTACAATTTCAAATTAGAAGGATAGGGGTTTATACAGAGTGATAAAACAAGCCCAATGGCTACTATTTAAGTTTGAGGCTAACCATTTCCTCGGTTTGTGGATACACAAGTTCAGTTTAATTCTTATGATAATCTCTTTGTAGATTACCAGTGTTTTATTTGTTTTTTGATTATTTTAAATGTATCCAAGATATGGATGTCATCTTCTGTGTCTATCATATGTTTAGTAATGGAAGGTTTAGTACAATTTGCCTTTGTTTATGCTTAACTTAATTGAATATGTTCACAAAGTTGATACCAAGCCTTTCAATGTTCTAAAATGTATATCTGAATTAGTAAATACAATTTTAGGTGATTAGAGCTGAAAACTTGTTCGCCTTTTGATTGTTGTAGTAAACACTTTTGCATATGAAGACTAATTTTGCCACTGGTAAAACGATTTTTAGTGCAGTTTTTATTCTTTCTGTTAACCCTGTTCATAAGTTTATTCCCCTTGGAAGTCAGACGAAGAAATACAGGTTTCTTCTCAGAATTATCATATTCAGTGGTTTCCTCTGTTCTCATTTTAACGATTTTCTTTTGAATGAATACTTCTTGAATAACTGAATTTCTTCAGTTTTTTTTTGTTGAATGAAGAAAGTTTCTTAGCTCTATGAAATAGTGTTTTCAACCACTCTGTGGTTATAACTCATAAGACAGAAACTGTTAAAATAGAGATACTGTCCACACGGTGGCATAGTTTGTTATTGAATTGAAACTGCATATACTTGATGCCGCAAAACTGTAAATGTTTGTTCACAGTTTTACTGTCTTATCCAGATTGACTTGATCTTCACTTATGTTAAATTTTTAACCGAATGATAATAACACGATGAGACACTTGCAGCGAATACAAATAGCTACTGTTCTCTCTCAGAACTTTATACTTCACTGAGCCGTAAAAATCAGAAGACAAAGACCAATCCATGAATGTAAAACAACAACAACAAAAACCTTTTCTTTTATACCATTTTCATCAACGTATAAATCCACTAAGTCAGAAATTGAATACCTAATTTGATTGGTCAATTATGAGACAAAATTATCCAGTAAGGCTTTCCCTAGCCTACACAATAGCATAAAACAAGATTGAAATCCCAAACTTCTACCTATTTTATTATTATTATTCCCTTGAATTCTAGTGGAACATAGGGCTTCAGTAGCACACCTCCATTGCACTCTGCTCTCTGCAGTCTTTTGAACCTGGCTCAACGACTACCTATAAGCTTTCATTTCTTCCTCACATGATCTCCTCCATGTCACCGTTGCCTCGGACGCCCAACTCCTTGTTTCGCTTTTAGATTCAACTCAAGGACCTGGTGCGTAATCTCCCCAATCAGCCTTCTCAGTGCATGCCCAATCCATCTCCTTTTTCTTTTTCTGCATATTTGTTGGGTGATAGGTTCTTGCTTCGTTGGTTCGTTGCCAGAGTGATTCCCTTGTTGCTTATTCGTATTATTCTGGTCATCTGATCTCATCTTCAGTATCGAGTGAGTGTAGGCGGCAGCTGTTGATGAATGTCTGTAGTTTGTCTGAAATGCTTTTCGTGACGCGCCGTCTCCTAACCATACAGCAGCACTGACTTGACTAGTATTGGTGTTGAAAATCCGGATGTTGTTCACGCTTTATGCTGAGTACAGATCTCCACCCTAGTTTCAGGTTAATGAACGCCTGTCTTACTGTCTTTCCGATTCTGGTTTTGACATCCTCATCCGTGCTGCCTGTAGTTGAAACGATACTGCACGATCCAGTTGACGACGATCAGGAAGACCATGCGTGGTATTAGGCAGCCCTTGTCTTACTCCTGTCTTCACTTCAAAGGCGCCACTAAGCTTCTCATTGTGGATCACTTGGCATGTGGCATCCTCATGTAGTTGTTAAATGAGGTTGATAAAGGTTTGTGGCACTAAAACCGTAGTGTTGAAGCAACTGCCAAATTACTTCTCGGTCCACGCTGTCAAAGGTTTTTTCAAAGTCGATGAAGTTGACGTAGAGAGAGAGAGAGTTGACTGCCATTCTATGCTCTGTACTATGATGATGCGAAGCGTTGCAATTTGATCCCCACATGATTTGTACTTCCTGAATCTAGCCAGCCTGTTGTGGTTGTAGTTTTGAATCCAGCGCATCCTTTAGTCTTTCCAGGATGATGCAACTTAAATGTTTTGCTTGGGGTGGACTGAAACGTTTACCTAATGACTTAAAATATTGACCTCTATTAGACCAATTCCTATCAGTTTGGATTATATTTTTGATAAGCCATATGTAACAAAATGATAGTCTAACTATTCGAACATAGGATATTCTTGACTTCACTGCAGATAAATTATTTTTCACTAATGTACTCATTCATTGTATTCTGCAAAATTTATTTTTCTAATTCTAGCTTTGTTAATAACATTTGCGAATTACATTAGTAATTCATTATTGACTACTTCAAATTTCAATAGAAAATCTGTATAGCGTTTTTTATCTATTTGCCTTTTATAATTGTATAGCTAAAACTGTATGTACACAGTCAACTGATGTAAATACTTCCTGTGATCAATGTATAGATGTGAATACGCAAAGTGTACGTGTTGCAGAGTAAGTTTTATTTACGCTTATCTCCATTATTTTACACTTGTTCTCTTTGAGATATGTGTCTATTCAATTATACTCAACCAATGTTTGTCCAGTTTTTCTTGAAACCTTACTGGTATATCGACTTCGTGTGGAAAATACAGTCATTGCGTTGGTTTTGTGTGTTAGTTGTTATTTCTTTTTAAACTTAATTAGGACCGGTAAACTTGTATTTATTTTGTAACCGGATTCACTCACACATCGAAAGATTAGAATATCATAAAATGTATACCAGTTTTCTATTGGCTTTTAAAATGTTTCTAAGATAACTAAAAAACGAAATCAATTATCCATCTCGTGTTCGCAGTATATTTCACTGTAATAAATGATATTTATATGAAGATGCTACATGCCAAGTAATTCACAATGCGAAGGTCAGTGATACTTTTGAAGTGAAGACAGGCAGGAGTAAAACAAGGCTGCCTACTATCACGTGTGATAATCCTGAATGTGGTCGACTTGACCATGGAAAAAAAACAGTGATGAGCGAGAAGAGGGGGTATGCTGAAACGCGGAGAACAACCTCGGAGATTTAGAATTCGCCGATGACTTATGTCTGATGTCACACAAACTCGAAGATCTACAGTCGAAATGCAACAAGTTGACAGAAGAGGCAGGGCAGGAAAGCTAAGACGTGACTGCAAGTGAACGTAGAGAAGACAGAGGTGATGAAGATACTCCACCAACACCATGAATAACAGCAAGAAGCTGCAATTAGCATGAACGGGACAAAGTTGGAATCTATTTGGTAGTGTGATTGTCTACCTGAATTGAAGAAAGTTGTAGATGGAGTGAATATTCTTATCTTTTCTTCATGTAATTTATGCTTATTTCATTTTGCATGTACAAGGTCTGGAAGGATGTAAAGGTACCTGGCGATTAGAAAAAAGGATACCTTGTCGAACTCCCGAAAAAGGGAGACCTAAGTCTTTGCAAGAACTGGCGCCGAATCATGCTGCTGTCCACCCCAAGCAAAATATTAAGCCGCATCACTCTGCAGAGTCTAAAGGATGCGCTGGATTCAAAACTACAACCACAACAGGCTGGCTGGATTCAGGAAGTACAAATCATGTGAGGATGAAATTGCAACGCTTCGCATCATCATAGTACAGAGTACAGAATGGCAGTCAACTCTGTCTCTCTCTCTACCTCAACTTCATCGACCTTGAAAAGGCCTTCAACAGCGTGGACCGAGAAGTAATTTGGCAGGCAACTGTTTCAACACTACGGTTTTAGTGCCACAAACCTTTATCAACCTCATTTAACAACTACATGAGGATGCCATATGCCAAGTAATTCACAATGCGAAGCTCAGTGATACTTTTGAAGTGAAGACAGGCAGGAGTAAAACAAGGTTGTCTGCTATCACTCATGATCTTTCTGATTGTAGTGGACTGGATCATGCAACAAACAGTGAGGAGAGAGAAGAGATGGTATTCGCTGGAGCGGGGAGAAGAACCTCGAAGATTTAGATTTCGCCAATGATTACTTGTGTCTGATGTCACACAAAGTTGAAGATCTACAGTCGAAATGCAACAAGTTGACAGAAGAGGTAGGGCAGGGCAGGGCAGTGAAGCGAAGACGGGAGTACAAGTGAACGTAGAGAAGAGGGAGGTGATGAAGATACTCGACCAACACCACGAATAACAGCAAGAAGCTGGAATGAGCATGAACGGGAGAGAGTTGGAGGAAGTAGCCTGTTTCACCTACACCTATGTAGGCAGTATTGTTTGAACTGTAGACGGCACAGGCAGATATGATGACGTGTAAGCCATCTGGGAAGGGAAAGACATCGAGAGAGGTGTTCATTAACGTGAGACGAGTGTGGAGATCTACTGCGCTGAGCATGAAGCGTGAAGGAGCTTGGAATTTTCAACGTGGATTGAGTGAAGTAAGTCAGTGTTTGTATGTGATGGTTGAGAGACTTTGCGTGTTACGAAATGGATTTCCAAGAAACTACAGATATTTATGAACAAGTGCCTACACACTGACTGGTTACTGAAGATGGAGATCAGATGGCCAGAATAATGTGAATAAGCAACAAGGAACTCTGGCTGACTGGCAAGGAACCAAGGAAGCAAGAACCTGTCGCTGAACGAATATGCAGTGAAAGGAAGTGGAGATGGATTGGATTGAGCATACACTGAGGAGACGGACTGGGGATTTCACGCGTCAGACGACGGCCTCGAGTGGGACCCAGATAGGATGCGACGAGTTGGGTGTCCGAGGTGAGGGTGACATGGAGGAGATGGTGTTTGGAAGAAATGAGAGCTTGTGGGCGGTCATGGAGGCAGGTTCAAAAGATTACAGAGAAGAAAGTGGAATGGAGGCATGCTACTGAAGCCCTATGTTCCACTAGGAAACAATATATTAATAATAAGGGATATTACTTATGAGTAGTTAAATTGATAGCATTGAATTTCACAGATGGCAATGCTGCTTCTTCTTGTTTTGGTTTGTTGAATTCATTATCTGTGGCTAATGAAGACATTATCTATTTGTACAACAACCTTAGATTTCAGGAATGAACGAAAATTGAGAGTATGGCATCATTTAAAAAACGTTCAGCCCTTAAACTGCCAGCAATTCTATATCTTAATTGTAATACTTAAGATGGACTGACTGACAAGACCAACATAAAACCCCATGCACAAGTGCATTGGTTCAAGTTACCACACATATGGATATAAAAAGGGTGATATCAAAGTAAACAAAGCTGTCTGAGGTAAACAATTTCAAGATAAAAGTTAGTGCAAAATTTCAAGCTCTAGGTGTCAACTCCATGTCACCATGATTTTTCAACCACTGGTTGTTATCGTATTGGGGATCCCAGCCAACTAGTCAACATCTCCCTACATAGCCCACACTAACAGTCAGAGATTTGTACCACATCTTGGGCTTTCGATCCTACACCGTGGTTTAACCTAATACAACTTCTGCTTGCGCATCCTGTCGAGGTAAGCGATGGCTTACTTTGCGCAGTACATGCGCAAGCCATCTCAGTCGACTAAGGTTCAAAACCTCATCAATCAAATAGCTTATCGTGCCTAGTACCTCTCGTGTGAGTTCAATATTACACATACGGTGATTCCACCATACGCGAGCCATTATATGTTAGAATCACCGTGTGAAGAATATAGAGCTTAAACGAAGAGTTAATCCTTACCCTGAAGTAATTCATGTTCATCTATACTCTCAGCTGTGAACAAATGTTCGCTTGATTTCTTCAATAACTATTAGTGTCATTCTTGAGATTCGAGTAGAAGTTACATTCCGTGCAATCTTCATCAATACTTTTCTTCGTTTGCTTCAAACAATTGGTTATTATTATTGTCTTCATATGCAGAAATTCGGGTTTCTCTCTCTCTCTCTCTCTCTCTGTTGCTGGTAAGACGAAAGAAAAAGCATCACTCTACATGTGGTATGCAGTTACACATAGTCTGTGAAGTATATCCCTTTTTATTATCTCAATCCTATTATTATTTTTTATTATTTTTCATTTGAGTTCCTAGTGGAACATAGGGCTTCAGTAATACGTCGCCATTTAACTCTGTTCTCTGCAGTCTTTTGAACCTGGGACCACACTTGTCCTTCATTCATACCTTCATTCCTTCCTCATATGATCTCCTCTATGTCACCCTTGGACGCCCAGCTCATCGTTTGCCATTCGGCCTGGCCTAACGCTGTCTTCTCAGTGTATATCCAATCCATCTTCACTCTCTTCTGCACATTTATTCTACGTTGATTCTTGGTTGGTGCATTGCCAACCAGAGTTCCTTGTTGCTTATCCTTTTTGAACACCTGATCTGACCTTCAGTATCGAGTGTAGGCACCTATTGATGTATGTCTGTAATTTGTTAGAAATGCTTTTCGTAACGCTCTAAGTCTCTCAACCATCACATAGAAGCACTGACTTGACTGGGATTAGTGTTGAAAATCCCGATCTTATTCTTTATGCTGATTACAGTAGATCTATCTACACAATAATTTCAGATTACTGAAGGCCTGTCTTGCTGCCTTTCCTATCTCATCTGTGCCTGTGTCGCCTGTAGTTGAGAAGATCCTGCCTAGGTAGTTGAAAGAGACTATTTCCTTTAGATTTCTCCCATTTATGGTTGTTGGCGCTTGTTGTTGTTGGCTGGGTATCTTCATCACCTCTGTCTTATCTACGTTCAACTGAAGAAAGTCTCGTCTCCGCGGCCCTGCCTCTTCTGCTAGCTTGTTGGTTTTCGCCTGTAGATCTTTGAGCTTGTGCAACAAGACATTAGACATAAATCATCATCGTTGGCGAAATCCAAATCTTCTAGGCTGTTTTCATCAGTCAAACAGCCTATGCCCATCTTCTTACAACTCCTCACAGTTGTCTGTTGCATGATCCTGTCCAATTCAGTCCAGTCCAGTTGACCACAATCAGGAAGATCATGAGTGATAGTAGGTAGCAACCTTGTCTTACTCCTGTCCCCTGTTTTCACTTCAAAGACATCACTGAACTTTCCATTGTGAATCACTTGGCAAGTGGTGCCTTCATATAGCTGTTGAATGAGATTGATAAAGATTTGTAGCACCAAGAGTGTAGTGTTGAAGCAGGTGCCGAATTACTTCTCGGTTGACACTATTGAACGTCTCTTCAAAATCGATGAAGTTGAGGTTGAGTTGCCTGCCATTCTATGCTGTGTTCATTGATGTTGCATAATGTCACAATTTGATCCTCACATGATTTTTTATTCCTGAAGCCAACCAGTTCTGATTGTAATTTTGAATCCAGATCATTTTTCAGTCTCCCCAGGATATTGCGGCCTAATATTTTGTTTGGGGTGGATGGGAGCATAATTCCGCGTCAGTTCTTGCAAAGATTTAGTTTACCTTTCCTTGGGAGTTTGACAAGGTTGCCCTCAATCCTAATCCTTTGGAAATAAATTGTCTTCAAGTATGTGCACAATTTTTTAATAGGAGTGAAAGAATTAGGAAGCTTGCTGTCGTATAACGTTTCAATTATTCTAATTGAGGGTGTATTGTTGTGGAGTTGTTTAGCTGAGTTTTTTTCCTAAAGATTATTCTGAAAGACTTGTTTTCCTAAGTGAATACTTTCTTGGCTTTAGACTGTAGAATGCCGTATTGAAGCAACGCGCAGTAGGATCTGACGCGTTTAATATGAACATTTTTATTATTGTATAGCAGAACCGGTGTTTCATCAATAAAATTAATCTTACAATGGTCTGTCTTGAAAAGAGATGCATAAAGTAAGGTGAACAGCTAATCGGAACATTTATGTTCAGATAAATACCAAGTTCAAGTCAAGAAACCCGCCCCCCCCCCCCCACAAACCTGTAAATGAGATCACTTATACTGGGTGTTGGTTGAAGGTGAGATGAAAATTTGGACCGTGGCCGGATTCGAACCAGCGACCACCGGGCCAGAAATCCGGTGGTCACTGGTTCGAATCCGATTGCGGTCCAAATTTTCATCTTACCTTCAATCATGACTTAGTATAAATACTAGTCTGCCAAACTACGACTATCTTAGATAGTGAAGTGACCGTAAAATTACTGTTCAGTGCTTATGTGTACCTAACCTCGAGATGATATTCCCCGAAGTTATTTAAGTGGGCAGTCGTGACTGGTGGGACCAACCAAGCCGGACATGAGGACTGTTACTCAATAATGGCATTGGATGCTTTTCGTACTATTTACGAACTGATGGAAGTTTGAAAATAGGGGCCCAATTTAACGTGCTTTCCGTGGAACCTGAGGCCCACCGTTTCCATTGAATTCTTTTCTCAGTTTGGAGGTTCGCAGAGATTTGTTCATCATGGACTGATATAGTCGGAGGAACATCGGATATCTGGGAGCACTGTACAGCTGTTTCATCCGGTGTGGGGCTCCTCAGCAGTGAGCACCCATGACCCTGCACCACTAGGGATCAAACCTACGGCCTTCATGTTCCGTGCTCAGCACGTTACCATTAAGCTAGCCACTGAGTTGGAATTCAATGGTCCATATTTCATACTTCTGTCATCTCATGATATAACGCGACCTACATTCAATGTGGTCATTGAGTAACTGTTCTCATATTCGACTTGGTTGACTTCACTCGTCACAACTTCGCATTAAAACTTCGAAGCTAGATTAGATCTATCTAGAGGTTTGTAGAGATTTGAAATAGGTAATCTATAGCTGATCTTTTGACTATGAGATAAAGGTGGGGCTCGAAACGTCATCCAACAAATAATACTGCACCACTGTGTAATATTTAGAATAAACTTATTCAGTATGCAAGTTTTAATGGTTTAAATGTAATTATAGTTCTGGATTGTAACTTTTTTTGAGTTCCCAGTCTCACATGCAGTTTAAATATGAAGGTGTATACACCGTAATCTTAGTAGTCAGGTTTGTTTTGTAAAATAAGAGTATGATTGTATGTTTTGATCAGAAATGTCACTTGTCTGTTTCAAATAATAAAAAAGAAACGCTACTTACTTCTTGGTAGTTATGAGTAGCATCTGGGATACAAGTTTCGTCCTATGTATGACTAGTCAGATGGGAATACCTGCACTCCAGCCCAACAGTCATAGCTTCAAACATCAAAAGTGTTATCCACTAGATATTCGAAGAAAAATGGTACTAGGTGGGGGGGGGGGGCTAGGTCTTAATGGGAACACTATCACTAACTTGGCTGCAGATATAGCCAGTTGACGAGTTTTAAACAGAGTAAAATGCGCATCCTGGATTCCACTGCTAACCACCGACAACAAATTACAACTTAATGAATAATCAGGCAATATCAGGGCTTCTATACAATCGCCAATATGTCAAGTCGATCAGTTCGATCGAGAATATTTACGGTGGATTTCATAAGTATCAATAAATAAATGTGTTGCCAAGTAGTCTAGAGACTAATTAAATTAAAAGTCATTATTTCATTGTTCATCAGATGTTATTGTTGTCAAGGTCATTATATGGTATACAATGTTTATGGCTTATTTCAAAGACTATTAAAGTACAGATTAATACATTTACATTACAATATGGTTATATTGTTTCTAAAAACTCATTAAGCATTCATTTTGAGAACATCAGTTCAAGATGAATAGTCTTAGCACTGAGATTTAAGTTATGAATTTTCATTTGTAGAAATTTAGTTAATCCGTAATGTATAACTAAATGGCAACAACAGAACTGTTAAGTGAAATCGTTGACACATAGTTGACTCAACTATGCCTACAGAAGGGAAAGTGGTGATTTCTCTTTTAGTTGAATAGCTTTTCTCGTTATCATATATGATTGTTTATCTGTTAAATATACTTCTTCTCTTCGAAATGGTTTCAAAAAAGTATGAGCAAACTAAAAAGTTGAATATACACTTGCCTCTGGTTCTATCATAACAATATTCAATAACGTATTTTTGACTAGTTACTAGCTGTACTTGTTCAAACACTTGCGGGCGTGTTAGAGCCTATGGTGAGATATCAGGTGAGCTGTACTCATCAAGTGGTGTCCGTCAAGGGTGCCCACTCTCTCCATTCTCATTCAATTTGATCATAGATATTCTTATAGAGGTTTCCCTCTCGTCACCTAATCGGTGGAGAATTTTTGTTAGACCTGGAATATGCAGATGACATTGTCCTGTTAGGTGAAGACTCCGACAACATGCAGAGTCTTCTGAGTACTTTGAGTAGCAATTTGAGAATGTTTGGGATGCGTTTCATTTGTAGAAATTTAGTTAATCCGTAATATATAACTAAATGGCAACAACAAAACTGTTAAGTGAAATCGTTGACACATAGTTGACTCAACTATGCCTACAGAAGGGAAAGTGTTGATTTCTCTTAGTTGAATAGCTTTTTATTGAATAATGTTTGTTTATCTTCTAGTATTTATATTTGTTTGTTACTGTCTACTCAACATTATTTCAGTACATTTCCAGTATTTTGCCCTGGTCGACCTTCTGATCCACGAACTCAACTTAGTGAATTATTTCGTCAGTTGGAGTATGAAAATCAAGCTCTTTCTGCTGTTGTTGATGTATGTTGAATATAGTATAAATTATTTCATTAATTTGAAATCTTATATGTACATTTTATGATTCTTGTTTTTCAATGTTCTTTAAGTTATTCTTACATTTTAACTTTGCATAATCTTCAGATAGCAAGATACACGTTTAAAAGTGGTACCATTAATTACGTTTTGAGCGATATAAGAAATAATTTTGTTACAAAGTATTTTCAACCTATTTAAATCGATCAGAATGACCCAAATGTATTCACTCCCTACACTAATTTATCTACTTTTACATCATTCTTTTTCTATACACCTATTCTTTGTATACTACTGTGAAATATGAGGACTTGAGCTGTATAGACTTGTGTGTGTGTGTGAGATTCTGCGATGATTTTATCAGTCAGTCAGCAAGCGATCTTTTTCCACAAAGCTACTGAAATGCGGGTAAGCAGAAAGACTAGATAGAATCTTGCGAGAAGCACTGAGAACAGACGCAGAGACAACAGCGAACATGCTCACATCACTATTGTAGAAGGTCTGGAGAGAAGTAAAGATACCTGGCGATTGGAAAAAGGGATACCTTGTCAAACTCCCGAAAAAGGGAGACCTAAGTCTTTGCAAGAAATGGCGCGGAATCACGCTCCTGTCCAACCCGAGCAAAATATTTAAGACGCATCATCCTGAAAAGACTAAAGGATGCGCTGGATTCAAAACTACAACCACAACAGGCTGGCTAGATTCAGGAAGTACAAATCATGTGAGGATCAAATTGCAACGCTTCATAGTACAGAGTGTAGAATGGCAGTCAACTCTCTCTCTCTCTACCTCAACTTCATCGACCTTGAAAAGGCCTTTGACAGCGTGGACCGAGAAGTAATTTGGCAGTTGCTTCAACACTACGGTTTTAGTGCCACAAACCTTATCAACCTCATTTAACAACTATAAGAGGATGCCATATGCCAAGTAATTCACAATGCGAAGGTCAGTGATACTTTTGAAGTGAAGACAGGCAGGAGTAAAACAAGGCTGTCTACTATCACTTATGATCTTCCTGATTGTAATGGACTGGATCATGCAACAACACAATGATGAGCGAGTAGAGAGGAGATACGCTGGAGCGGGGAAAAGAACCTCGAAGATTTAGATTTCGCCAATGATGACTTGTGTCTGATGTCACACAAAGTTGAAGATCTACAGTCGAAATGCAACAAGTTGACAGAAGAGGTAGGGCAGGGCAGGGCAGTGAAGCGAAGACGTGACTACAAGTGGACGTAGAGAAGACGGAAGTGATGAAAATACTCCACCAACACCACGAATAACAGCAAGAAGCTGCAATGAGCATGAACGGGAGAGAGTTGAAGGAAGTAGCCTGTTTCACCTACACCTATCTAGGCAGTATTGTTTGAACTGTAGACGGCACAGGCAGAGATGATGACGTGTAAGCCAGCTGGGATTGGGAAAGACATCGAGAGAGGTGTTCATTAACGTGAAAGCAGTGTGGAGATCTACTGCGCTGAGCATGAAGCGTGAAGGAGCTTGGAATTTTCAACGTGGATTGAGTGAAGTAAGTCAGTGTTTGTATGTGATGGTTGAGAGACTTTGCGTGTTACGAAATGGATTTCCAAGAAACTACAGATATTTATGAACAAGTGCATACACGCTGACTCGTTATTGAAGCTCAGATGGTCAGAAAGGATAAGTAATAGGGAACTCACTCTGGCAACGAACCAATGAAGCAACAACTTGTCACCCAAGAAATACGCAGAGGAAGGAAGTGGAATTGTACTGAGAAGACGGTTCGAGGACATCGCGCACCAGGCACTCGTATCTATATGACAAACGACGAATTGGTCGTCTGAGGTGAGGGTGACGTGGAGGAGATGGTGTGAAGAAGAAATGAGAACTTGTAGGCAGTCGTAGAGCAGGTTGAAAAGACTGTCGAGAAGAGAGTGGAATGGAGACGTGCTACTGACGCCCCATGTTCCACTAGGAACCCATGGGACCAATAATTACAAAAAAATCGCAATGAAATTCATTGTAAGTAGACTAACCTTCAATATAAGACACTGGCAATCTATGAGTATCAGATTTCGGTTTTCGTTTATCCCAACATTCGATAAGTGTTGACATCTCATTCTAGAAATACATATTCACTCTCACTTTTGTACACATTCAATGAAGAAGAATATTGAATTCCAGGCTAACAACATACACATTGACTAGATCATCATATAACTTTTTATTGTGTTCCAGCTGAAATATCTTTTCATTTCCATTGTTCATTTCACGTTGTCTTCCTAGTACACTTCATACATTCCCAGTAATATCGTCGTTTATATGGGGAATTTTCTTTTAATATGAAAACAAATGACTTTGAATAGTGAATAGTAGCTAACAGTGGAAGGTAGGTCGCACGTTTCATCTTATTCAAGACTTGTTAGCCGGATGTTATTCACACCGGGATTCGAACTCGGGACCGATCACTGCAAGTACCATACTAGACTATCGAGTCACAATATCTAGTCCTTGTGTGACGCATTTAGTTTATATGATGTTGCCTGTATTATCTTATCGCTGGTTAGACCGATTAGTTTAGTCCAACATCATACGGAAATAAATGGTTGTCTATATGAAAATAATTGATTTTCTCCATGATAAGTAATTACTTTACTTCTCGAGTTCATCAAATTCTTTAATATTAGTGCAAAACTTTAGCACCCTTTAAAATTCCAGATCAGATTTGTTTATTTGACATAGTTGGTACACAGTTGGATATAATGTTATTTACTTGATAATGTTTGTAACATAAATTTGTTGCTCATAATCATATCAATGTAAAATTACATAACACTTTGGATATATAATTTGCATAGTCTTATCACCTCATCTTGTTTGCTTTTATCAGTATTAAAATTCTCTGTATCTTTGGTATAGGTGTTGCGTCATTTTCATTACATGTGTTGAGTGTTGATTGGATGATTCAGGAATCTCTATCTCTCTCTTTCTCTGCAGCTAACTAGGTGGTGGTGGTTTTTTATACTGACTGATGATTGAAGTTGAGATGAAAATTTGGACCGCGGCCAGATTCGAACGAGCGACCACCGGGTTTCTGACCTGATGCTCTATTGGTCGGGGTCTAAATTTTCATCTCACCTTCAATCATCACCCAGTATAAACTACTAGTCTGCCAAACTATGGCAGATAATGATCATTAGGTGGTTTTGTCCTACCCTGATGTGTGGTTGTTTGTTAATTCATGTATTGCAACAGACGAGTTTTTTGCTATATTATCGATCCTGTTGGGGTCTATCATTGTAAAGTTCTTTGAACTTCTATGTTCCGATAATGTAAATGCCATCGATCTGCTGATTTGACCTATGTGGTTGACTGTGACATCCAGATACTTACGTTCGTCAAGCATTTCCTCGGAGTCCGTTAAAGTCTTTAACACTTTTCATAGCAGACGTAAAATAGTAGAAGGCTTTTACCGGGTGGGTGACATTGTCTAGTCTTGACAAACTGTCTCAGCAGTTCGTCATTGAAAGCAGTCTTAGTGTTCGCATCGTTGACCCACTGTCGCAATCGCCTTGCCTCTGAAAGTTTTTTACTTTTATCTAAGCATGGATGTGTGCGTTCCAGAACCCAATGTGCGATCACTATTTGATGTACCTGAAAGAGGAATTTGGTTAATGATAGTGGTGCACATACACAGATCCAAATAGACATCCTCTTGAAGCCAGTTTTTTGTGGCCTTTTCGGAGTTTAAGTTATAAGTTTAATCGATCTGCACCCAGGGTAGTAATCTGGTTATCGGTGAAAAGCATCTAGCTGTTCTCACATCTTATCAAACTTGCAGTACGATTTCACCCTGAGATATTCACTGATATAGTAGTAATTTTCACTATCCAATAGACATTTCTGGTATGGTAAGACCTCTAGGGAACAAGCATTCCATTAGCATAGCTCGTTGGGTCATTGTCACAGACAAACTCAACCACTACGTTAAGGTAGCACCTTACTGGTTGGGATATCTTACGCGTGTAGGGTTTCGAGCAAGAAAGCAATTTTTGCTTTCTTGAAAAATTATTAGTTTTTCTTTTGTTCTAAACTGAAGTGACTTTCAGTTTTATATTTTTAAAATACAACACTTTTGTATAATTTTTAACAACTTTATTTACTCAGGCAACATCAATTCGAAGTCCTGAAATTACTGAGATATTTAAAGTAAGTTATAGTCTGTTTCATGATTATTGTTTAGCTAAAATATTCTTCATTCATAGTGAAACAAACCTTTATTAATCTCATTCAACAACTATGTGAAGGCACCACATGCCAAGTAATTCATAATGGGGAGCTCAGTGATACTTTTGGAGTGAAGACAGGCAGGAGTAAAACAAGGCCGTCTACTATCACCCATGATATTCCTGATTGTAATGGACTGGATCATACAACAAACACTGATGAGCGAGAAGAGGGGCATACACTGGACTGGGGAAAAGAACATAAAAGACTTGGATTTCGCCGATGACTTGTGTCAAATGTCGCACAGGCGTTCATTAACCTGAAACCAGTGTGGAGATCTACTACACTCAGCAAAAAGCGTGAACAATATCCGGATTTTGAACACGAATCCAGTCTAGTCAGTGTTTCTATGTGATGGTTGAGGGACTTGGCGCCTCACGAAATGGATTTCCAACAAACTACAGATATTCATGAACAACTGCCTACACACTGACTGGTTACTGAAGATGGAGATCAGATGGCCAGAATAATGTGAATAAGCAACAAGGAACTCTGACTGGCTGGCTGGCTGGCTGGCTGGCTGGCTGGCTGACTGACTGGCTGACTGACTGACTGACTGGCAAGGAACCAAGGAAGCAAGAACCTACCGCTCAACGAATATGCAGTGCAAGGAAGTGGAGATGGATTGGATTGAGCATACACTGAGGAGACGGACTGGGGACATCACGCATCAGAGGACGCCCTCGAGTGGAACCCAGATGAGAAATGACGAGTTGGTCGTCCGAATCGAGGGTGACATGGATGAAATCATGTGAGGAAAAAATAAGAGCTTGTGGGCAGTCATGAAGGCAAGTTGAGAAGATTGCGGAGAACAGAGTGGAATGGAGACGTGGTAGTGAGGCCCTATGTTCCACTAGGAACCGAAGGGATTAATAATAATAAAATAGTGGAACTATACTTCACCACTTTCATGCATGTTTACATCTTTTCCAAATTTCAGGCGTCATTCATTTCTGAAGTAAAGGAGAAGCATTTTAGTCAATCGAAACTTGACATAACTGCTTAACAGAACTAATTGCCAAACTGTCTATTGTGAAGTGGAAAACTTGAAGGTTAGAGAAATAAGACAGAATGTAATCAATCAATCGTCGTAGAAAGTTGTAAGATGAAAAGCGAAGGAAAACAAAATGAATATCAAAATATGATATAACGACTGAGAGAAAGATATTGTGTGTTCATGCATATCTGAGCCAGTGATTTCTATCGGAGGCGGCTATGCGAAAGACATTCAAGAAGTAAATACTGCGAGAACTAGGATCTCCTTGTAGTCATTCTGTGAACGAAATCTAGTCATGTAGCATATATTCTACATCTTGTATGTCATCCTATAAACTCCTGTTCATACTTCTAGTAGAAGTTTGTTAACCTTATTCAGTTGAACATGTACCTAAGTGGCTACAAAAACAAGTGACCTCAACAGATCCGATAAGTGCAGGTGACAAACATCCATCTTCGTCTATCGCTAAACATATACTAGAAACTAAAGATATGGTAGACATGTAAACAGCCTTTAAAATGCTACATAAAATTGATCATAGTCGAGTGCTTAAATTTATTGTAGCTCTTGCCATGTGTAAATCCAAACCACCTTTATGATACAAAAACAATTTGTACTCACGTTGAACCTACCTTGTTGGTGTATTGATTTTAATTTTTATACCAAGAGTAACGTCTTTTTTTGTTTTTCTCCTCCTTCCTATTCCTCTATGTTTCCTATTAACTTCATTGACCCTTTTCGTAATTTTATATGATATTATTTATCCCTTAGGTTCCTAATGGAACATAGGGCTTCACTAGCACGTCTCCATTCCACTCTGTTCTCCGCAATCTTCTCAACCTGCCTCCATGACTGCCTACAAGCTCTTATTTCTTCCTCACATGATTTCATCCATGTCACCCTCGATTCGGACATCCAACTCGTCGTTTCTCGAGTGCCTGGCGTGTGATGTCCCCAGTCGATGTTCTCAGTTTATGCCCAATCCAATCCATCTCCACTTCCTTTCACTGCATATTTGTTAAGCGATAGGTTCTTGGTTCGTCACCAGCGCGAGTTCCTTGTTGTTTATTCACACTATTCTGGCCATCTGATCTCCATCTTCAGTAACGAGTCAGCGTGTAGGCAGTTGTTTAGGAATATCTGAAGTTTGTTGGAAATCCCTTTCGTAACACGCCAAGTCTCTGAACCGACCCTTTTCGTAAATTTTCATACAAATAGTTCAACAAGTTCATATGTGATCAGATTGTTTAAAATGTATAGCGCTAATACATCACGATATGTTGTTCAGATAATCTTCGTCTTCTCATTACGCTATTCAAATTTATCAAAGGGACTAGTTCCTTTAATCTTCTTTAGTTTATTTTTGAAAGGTTGTTGTATATTTTCTTCATCAATTATTGTTATTTTAATTCTACACTTGGAAAGTCTTAATCATTCAACAGTAATTAAGTTTATGCCCTGAAAACTAAAACCTTAATTATATTATACATTTTTCTTTTTCTTGGAATAGAATCTTCTTTTATCGAAGGCTACTAGTCAAGCAACATTAGCTTGTCTAAAGCGTTGTATGGACCTAATCAAACGTCAAGATATGACAAGTGGAACTGAAAATGGAAAAATGGTTAGTATATTTTAATAGAAAATAATATAGTCACATACATGTGTTCATATGATGCATTAATAAATTAAACAACATTACTGGAACATGCTCAACTTGATTGATGAAGTTGATCGAGGATGGCTTAGTCATTTACTGCCTATGCTGTAACACTGCCTACGTCTATGTGTCATGATAGGGGAAGTTCGACTAAGTTGAAAGAAGATTTAGGGTGAACAGACCAAGATATGACACCAGTGGATAAAGTCCTTAACTGTTGGTCTGAGTTGTATGACGCCGTGTTGTGATTCTTGAAATGCAAGGAATCAGTGATTGAGAACTCTTGGTAATGTGGCTGAAAATTGGTCTGTCTGTTTGTATAAGCCTGCCAACTAATGAGTTGTTGGCTTATAGTTAGTAAAATTTGATGTCTGTAATTACACATATCACATCACAGTAATCACTAGACTTCCAAACTTTCTTTATATAGTCTAACAGGTCTTCATTCGTTTATTTTAATCGTGGTAAAATTTTCCAGATATCTACAATATGTGATGAGACATTTGTGTCGTATATGTTGGGTGCGGAATCAATGAACAAAGATTCTTTAATCTCTCTCTCTCTCTCTCTCTCTCTCTCTCTCTCTCTCTCAGATTTCAGAATCTTCATCCTATCCCACCGTATAGTATGATTATATCGAGAGAATATAACAACCTAGATACCAGTGTATACAGGATACCAACACATTTGAATAGATACTTGAGTTCCACATCATCTCACCCTACAGTTTGAAAAAGTGTCGAAGTAATCGAACTAGGAGTTTGGCTATTAAGTCAGAAAACCTAAATAGTAGAGTGAAATACACCTAAGAGATACTACTTTTTAATAACTACCCTCTCACTTGGTGAAATGAATGAGAACGGAGAACTGTCTCCAGATTTCTGCGCATTCAACGATTTGGTGATTGGGGGCAGAGTGGATAAACACGAGGATATTCACAAAGCGACATGGATTTCATCAGATGGACACACTAAAAATCAGATAGACTTCATCTCAATCTCAAGAAAGTGGAGACACAGTCTACTGGATATAAGATCAAGAAGAACGAAAACTAACAAGTTGACAGAAGAGACAGCGAAAACGTGACTTCAAGGGAATGTAGAGAAGACGGAGGTGATGAAGATACCCAACCAACAACAGCATCGACAACTGGCACCAATCACCATCAGTGGGAGAAACCTAAAGGAAGTAGTCTCTTTCACCTATCTAGGCAGCACTGTTCCAACTACAGGTGACACAAACGAGGACGTCAAAGTCAGGATCGGAAAGACAGAAAGACAGGCTTTCATTAACCTGAAACCAGTGTGAAGATCTAATGCACTCAGCATAAAGCGTGAAAAAAATCTGAATTTTAAACACCAATCCAATCTAGTCAGTGTTTCTATGTGATGGTTGAGAGACTTGACGCGTTACGAAATGGATTTCCAACAAACTACAGATATTCATGAACAACTGCCTACACGCTGACTGGTTACTGAAGATGGAGATCAGATGGCCAGAATAATGTGAATAAGCAACAAGGAACTCTGACTGGCTGGCTGACTGGCTGGCAAGGAACCAAGGAAGCAAGAACCTATCGCTGAACGAATATGCAGTGCAAGGAAGTGGAGATGGATTGGATTGAGCATACACTGAGGAGACGGACTGGGGACATCACGCGCCAGGCCACGCCCTCGAGTGGAAGCCAGATGAGAAACGACGAGTTGGTTGTCCGAAGTGAGGGTGACATGGATGAAATCATGTGAGGAAGAAATAAGAGCTTGTGGGCAGTCATGGAGGCAGGTTGAGAAGATTGCGGAGAACAGAGTGGAATGGTGATGTGCTAGTGAAGCCCTATGTTCCATTGGGAACCGAACGGACAAATAATAATAATAGTAATGTACACACATATACGCTGTATCTTTCAGAATAGAAAATGGGAATGAGAATATATAGATATATATATTCATTTTGGTGTTCAAACCCTGAATATCTATATAGTTCGAGGTTTACGAATGTTACTACTATTTTTATTATTGAGGTTTCCATTGGTTATGGAGTGATATCATTTAGAAAGCTATTTAAAGTCTGGGAGCCGTAACCATTAGGGTCAACTACTCAGATGTGAAATGGATACCAACTGTAGACTTTGATAGATGGAGCCACTCTGTATCGCAAATCGATAGGACTAAAGAACTGTGTATCGTTGAACTCTGACCCAGCGTTGTCTGTGAAACTCTGAGGTCTTGAATTTCACCCCTAACTTGGTCGTGGATGAGTTTCATACTAGCGTGAAAGGTTGTTCCGTGCTCTCAAGTTTCCAATAGTTCTCCAACTGATATCAGTTCATGGTGAATAAAACCTTTTAAATAGTTATTGGACTAATTTGTTAACAATCATGTTATAACTTCATATTTCAGTTTTAGTAATACAATGATACACTTTCCTATTCTTTTTTTTCTCGTTAAAAACTGAATTTTATCAATGAAAATCTGTAATTTTGTTATATTTTTAAAGAATAAATCATTTAGTCCATGTGCTACAGAGAAGTCAGGGTGTAATGACTCTTCAGTTGTCGTTAATGAATTGTCTGGATCATCTAAAGTTGTCGATTTGAGTGTTACTACCGAATCTCTTCCAAGGTATATTCCATTTTACGCACATTCTATTTGTTGTATAAATGAAATATACTTGTAAAATCCAAGTGAAGTAGAAAAATAAATTTCTAACTTTCACAACTTTGTGGAAATCGTTTCTTTAGATGATAAAACCTGTACAAGTTATCTACTGTTTAGGCAGTAATGGTGACGAATCAGTTCATATTGTCTATGCATGATAATAATATGAACATAAATGTCATTGCTATAATGAATTAGAACACAGGTGATATGGAGGTATCCTCATAGGATCCCATGTGCCAATCAAGGCGGGTCAATTCTGTTCAATCAACAACGGTATAATACAAGCAATAACAATAAAACTATACCTGTTGCATGAGAAGTAGCTCGGTGGTGTAGTGCAAAGCGCTCTGGCGTTAGAAGTGGCCGCTCCCGAGTTCGAATCCCAACGGAAACAACTTCATTCACTGAGAAGAAGGTATATCCAGCTGACGAGTCCTAAATACAACGGAATGCATATTCTGGATTCTACTGCTAGACACTATCCATCATTACTATGTATAATTAAAACAGGCAATATTGAAGCATACGTGCAATAGTCGATATGCCAATAGAGACCGATCATTTGGGTCCAATCAATGACGGTATAGTACAAGCAATAATACTAATAAATTTCTTTGTAATGTTGGTCACGAAGCGTCCAGGCTTCTCTTTGTTATCCATTATTAGTCTGGAGTTGAAGGTGATGTGAATATGTGCATATGTGACTGATTGGGTGTGAAATTGTAAGAACGATATTATGGACGATGAATTGGGTTTGTTTGTATGTATACACTTTTTGTTCTGCTCATTGTATGTGAAGTCATGATAATCCTTTTACTAGCTCAATAGTTCTATCATTCCGCCAAGGTATACCTGAAGAGTTACAAAGAATCTTAACAAAGCAGAGAATTAGAGTCTTTTATAAGACAAGCAACACTTCTAGAAATGCTCTAGTTCGCTTAAAAGATAAAATTCCTTTTACCTCCACACAAAATTGTGTCTACAAATTAGGCTATGTCAATTACACTGGAGAATCATCCTGTGAAATCCTCATTCGGGCTAAAGAACATGTAAGTTACACATAACGACTGCCAATGAATTCTGTAGAACTAGAGAATTTACAAATCAAGTCGGCAATCACAGTTCATGTCGTCATCTATCACAGTCACTAAATCGATATTGAAAGTGCATACACGCAAACAAATCGAATTAGTCATCACTAGTATTGTTCTTACACTTTTACACCCAGTCATATTTGTACATATTCATATCACCTTCAACTCCTGAGTAATCATGGATAACAAAGAGAAGTCTGAACGCTTCCTGATCACTTGACTATCTGCTGAGTTTTGAAGACTATTATTCATACTAGCTGATGATTGAAAGTGAGATGAAAATTTGGATGGCGGCTGAATTCGAACCAACAATCACCGGTTCTCCGACCCAATGCTCTATCAACTGAGCTACTAGGTTCGATCACATTTTTATTTCACTTCAACCACCATGTGAATTCATGACGCATTACTACCGTTTGATCATATTCACACTGCCTGCCTAGTCAGGACTTCTCATAGCTCAGTTGATAGAGCATCGGGCTGAAAACGCGGTGGTCACTGGTTCGAATCCGGCCGCAGTCTGCATTTTCATCTCACCTTCAATCATCACCCGGTATTAAATAACATTTATATTCATATTATCATCATATATCGACAATGTAATCTGACTTGTCACCATTTACTATTTAATCGATGTAACTTGTACAGATTTTATTCTCTAAAGAAGCATTTTCCACGAAGTCACAAAACATCAGAAATTTATTTTTTCATATTTCATTTATAATCCATTTACCTAATCCTCAACTTATTCAACTCTATGAGGTCAAATTTAGATTCTGAAGTTTATCAAATGTATTGGTTATATTTATGTCTTGACTTTTGGATATCCCATAAACTTTTACACTAGTTTATATACTGAATTATGTATATGCCTAGACAACGAGCATCAAGAATCACGAAACTGCTTTCCATGGCTTCCACTGAACTAATAACTATCCCACTGCATCATGAGGGTGAGTCTGTAACCTCGAGGACCACACTGAGAAGTAATCGATAGGATTTGATCAGTACTAGACTAGACAATATGAAGTTGGTTAACCTCCTGCAGTTATCGATCAATGGAGATGAGTCGTGGACGAAAGAGCTCACTTGTGAAGCCGCTAACTGTGGTGCGACATCATTTCCATAGAAGTTGCAGATAGCCTTTGCTGACCAGTGCAGACAATCACGAAGCCTTAAGCCAATCATGTATATTGTTTGTACCAGCTGATGATTTTGTACACTGAACAAACTATTGAAATATAACCATTTCACTAGCCATGATAATATTCATTTATTCATTCAACAGTGAAGCATAATTTTCGTGTGAGGATTGATCAATACTCAATGGTTGTTGAAACCAAAGTAGTTGAAGCATGATTCAAATTCTTGAACCCAATAGTCGAAATAAGCTAACCTTTATCAATGAACCAGAGATTCGATTGGAAAGCAGATTATGGATTAGATTAGTCATCTATGCAAACTACATTTTTCTTTTGATTAGTTATCATCATGGGTCTTTTTGAGGGGGCGCTAAGAAAGTTATCTAAAATAAAGTGACTGAACTAATAACTGCCATCTTGATATGGTTGGAATACTTTTTCTCTTGAGGCCTTAACTCATACCAAAAAAGTTTATAAGATGAAAAGAAGTCACCATGATGTTATAAACAGCTATGCCATGAGAGAGGTCGAAAAGTGCATCTATACTGCTGGTTTGACAATGTAATACTAGTAGAGTATTTCTCATGGATGACCCACGGTCCACACCACCTTCTCTATAGGAAGTGATGCGTGGAAGTTAACCCCTAAATACTGCACTCCTGCTTGCCCTGTAGTCTTCGGGTGCTGTATGATACCGGCTTGAAGGAAATGTCCTATAGATTCTGCGGTCATTTAACAGTAATCTGACTTGTTTTCTGGTACAGTAAAATATTACCTTCCTTGTGATGTTTCTTAACATTCTAGTATCTAACTGACTTCGAAAAAATCTTTCTCTTCACCTACTGTGAGCTACTTGTATGTCAGTCTATCGTTTTGCATCTTACCAATTTTCTATTGTTTGCTCCCTATTATTCTCTCCTTATCTGCTGAAGAAAAGGATTATGTTGTATTGCTTTGAACTTTAAAGGCTGTCACTAGAACGAACAATACTCTTCTGACTAGTATTATGCATAGTACTGTGAACACATATCTCTTAATTCATTAGTTCCCGTTATTTATGTATTAAGAATCGTGTTGTTGCTATCGTAATTAACAACAGACTCATCCAACTTTTGAAAATATTTTACATAGAGTATATTGTTACTTCTGTCTTTGGGTACTTGATGCATTATTATATGCTGAAAGTCTTGTAAAATATCCTAGAATAAAGCTGCTATTATCATTATTATTACTATCGTTATTATTATAGACGTCTTTATGGAAGTGTATCTGACTTCATCTAACTTTACAGAGATTGATCCTATGACAGGATACTTGTTGGTAAATTGGATATATAGTCCTGTTAAATGAAGAATGTTTACAATCCACTTCTTATCCCCTTAAAAGAAATTATTGCTCCAAGATTTGACTGCGTTGATATTTCAGGATATGAAGTGAAGCCATTGAATGTGCCTAGTCACTGTCTACTTCATGGCTTATTGTTGGTTGAAGTAAGTTCAGTCTGGAAAGAGGTTAGAGGCGACAAGACTAAAACATAGCATCAATGCCTGGGACTTTCGACTGTCAATCTGAAACTTCTGGGTTGGAGTTCTGTTGGCGTTCAACTAATCTCATTGTTAGTTATTATCTTCACTCGAATTGTCGTATCATATGTCGTTGTTCAATTAGTGTCTTGTTCTCCTTCCCCTCTGGTGACGGCTTTCCACATCTATCTTGTTTTTTTTACTCAAGTATTAGTCATAAGCTGTCAGATGATGGTCGAAATACTCTCTGCCAGTATCCATTACCGATAAAAGATATGCAAGTGAATTGCATCGATATACCTAAGGATGAAGATGAACAGGACGATGTTGACAATACTGATAATGATACATCTACTACTCATGAGCATATAGAAATAGATAATGAACAGAATAGATCAGTAATTCTGCATTTGCTTTCTCAGTTGAAAATTGGTGCAGATTTGACAAAGGTGAGTTATTTGATCAGATATGATTATTTTATTAATATTATTTTCCCTTGGGTTCCTAGTGGAACATACGGCTTCAGTAGCATACGTCCATTCCACTCTCTTCTCAGCAAACTTTGAACCTGGCTCCAGGATAGCCCAGAAGCTCTTATTTCTTCCTCACACCATCTCCTCCATTTCGCCGTCGCCTCGGACACCCAACTCGTCGTTTCTCATCTGGGTTCCACTCAAGGGCGTCGTCTGATGCGTGATGTCCCCAGTCGGTCTCCTCAGTGTATGCCCAATCCATCTCCACTTCCTTCCAGTGCATATATGTTGCCTGATAGGTTCTTGCTCCGTTGGTTCCTTCCCAGAGTTCCTTGTTGCTTATTCTTTCCGGACATCTGGTCTCATCTACAGTTTCGAGTGAGTGTAGGCGGCAGTTGTTGATGAATGTCTGTAGTTTGTTGGAAATCCCTTTCGTAACGCGTCAAGTCTCTAAACCATCACATAGAAGCACTGACTTACTTGACTGGATTCGTGTTGAAAATTCGGAGCTCGTTCACGCTTTATGATGAGTCCAGAAGATCTCCACACTGGTTTCAGGTTAATGAACGCCTGTCTTGCTGTCTTTCTGATCCTGGCTGGCTTTGACGTCCTCGTCTGTGGCTATGCCGCCACCTGTAGTTGGAACAGTGCTGCCCAGATAGGTGAAAGAGGCTACTTCCTTCAACTTTCTCCCGTTCATGGTGATTGCAGCTTCTTGTTGTTGGTTGAGTATCTTTATCACCTTTGTCTCCTCTACGTCCACTTGAAGTCCTGTCTTTGTTGCTTCTTCTGTCAACTTGTTAGTTTTCACCTGTAGATCTTCGAGTTTGTGTGACATTAGACACAAGTCATGGGCGAAATCCAAATCTTCGAGGTTCTTCTCCGCGGTCCAGCGTATCCCCCTCTTCTCGTTCATCACTGTTTGTTGCATGATCCAGTCCACTACAATCAGGAGTATCATGGGTGACAGTAAAAAGCCTTGTTTCACTCCTGTCTTCACTTTAAAAGTATCACTGACCTTCGCATTGTGAATTACTTGGCATGTGGCGTTGTCATATAGTTGTTGAATGAGTTTCATAAAGGTTTGTGATGTTTCGTAGTGTTCAAGCAGTTACCAAATTACGATCAGATATGATGGACCAGTTTAAATTTTCATCCAACCTGTTTACCAATTTTCTTTAATGTAGACATATAATTACAATCGAAATTGTTAACATTCTAAACTTGTATAGTGAATTTGAATCCTGCGTTACAAATTCGTTGTTTAGATAAACTTTATTATAATACAACACAGACACAGATCAATTCGAAGAAGAAGTAAAGGAATAGACGATGTCATACATATTTTCATTGATATACGTAGAATGACCTTATTTCGCTACAACACTTATAAATTATCATTGAAATAATTCAATTAAATTATGTAAAACTGATAAAATATAGTTCGACGAGGCATTTCTATACAAGTTATGCTTTCGTAATCACAGTTACAACAAAAACATATGTTGATCGGTCAATATCAGGTCTTCAATGAAATCATAAGGTGATTATGACTAACAAGTCAATACATAATGATTATGAAGTACTTTATAAGGTTATAGACTGGATACTAAAAGTTGAACAGTCCTATTGAAACCAGCAATTGGTTAGCTAGAATACGATATGAAAAGAGAGATCAAGCTTGAACGGATAGAATTGTCAAGCCTTGAGACTGTTCAGATAGTTAATCTGAACTCTTTTCGAAATTCTTAATGTATAGGTAGTTCAAACTAACAGTCTGTAACTCTATGAACAGATGTCATTTCTTAGTCTGATCATTTTTTTTTTCAAGACTAATGTTTATTTCATTTAGTATTGTATATCGTTGCGAAAACAATGATTCTTTATGTGTAACGTAAGTTCCAGCTTTCTTAGTGTTTTCAGGTTCATTGGTGTTTCACACCTCTACACCATTACTCACTGAATGTCTTTATCACATACTGTCAATACTTGGTAAATATTATTGGTCAAACATGTGTAACTTTCTCATCGACAATCACAGTGAACTATTGCTCAGCATACCCATTATTTCATGAGTGACTTTGAAGGTCACCCTAGCAACTGCTAAAATAACCAATCAGGTTTAAATATTCTACCTGGGGGAGTAGTTTTTCATTAAATAGAGGAACGTAATTGGTTGTCTGAACAGTGGCTAGGGTGACCTTGAAAGTTGGTTAGTTCTTCAAGGTAGTGAATACAATGTCGTTAGACTAATTTGTCTAGTTTGACGCTACTAATGAACAATTTGAGTAGTTAGAAACCACTCTGGTTGATTTTTAGTATTTTGCCAGCCATATCGGAGTGATTTCAACACCAGATAGCCGTTTTGATCGCCTGGGGTCGAGTTCATCAAAGGTGTATCTGGACAAACTCAGCTTATATAGCCAGTTTAGTTCAGATCCCCCAAATCTGGTTAGGTGACTTGAATGGACTAGTATACTTTAAATCGGATGATAAATTTGCGAATGATTTACAAATTGCACGGTTCACCTTAACATTTCACTCACAATGTGTGATCTCTGACACAAAAGTGTCATGAACTAGTGAAAGATACTACTACTAAACAACTTTAGTTAAAAACCACTGTGGCTAATCTGTATTATTTCGGTCTTTGAGCTATATTTCTCCCTATATACTGCTGATGAGCTCGACCCCAAAATATTGAAATAGCCATCTAGTGTTTAAATCACTAATCTGACTGCCAAAATACTACACATCAGCTGCAGTAGTTTTTAACTTCTTTAGTAGTTCAATAGTAGTATATTTCACTAGTCCATGACACTTTTGTGTCAGAGATCATACCTTATTTTCTTGACTGAGTCGTTTCTAGTGGAAACCGTGTTGACACCATAGTTGGAAAGTTGAGAAACTACTCAGTTGTGGTGAGAAATGTCAACGTGGATTGTGTAATTTGTAAATCATTTGTAAATTGATCCTTCTACTTACGCTATCCTTTCTAGTTATGTTCTATAAATGGGACAAGTCTACTACCATAGTTAATCGGAACAAGTGAATATCAGTTGATTATTCACCAGCATATGTATCTCAAAATCAAGCTAATTTGACAAGTCGATTTATTTATTGTGACTTACAATGGGATGCACTGTCGATATACTGTTATTTTTATGGTGTACAGGTTACACCACAGGTTGCACTGGTAGTGGTTTTTTTTACTAAATTTTTCCTACATCCATTGAGACTCAGGCATATACGCGCTTGGACCAACGCGTAGTTGCTATCCAAACATGTACTTCAGAAGGAGTGACAGTCTTCTATCGATCCTCTCCAGCGATGACTGATACCGATGTGGTCTATCTGTGTCTATCGCTGAGTTGAGCTCGGTGGACAGTGTCTTTCTTTGTGTCTGAAATTTGTGCTAACTAAAAAATAAGCGGTTATCTGAGCACAGTTGTAGTAAACGATCACTGTTATCTGTTCGCTAAGCCGTGATTACAAAGATCGTATCTAAGTACCTTTCCGCCTGATGCAGTTTACCCACTTGTGCATTGAAATCACCTGCAACAACCACCACATCTGAAGGTTTGGCTTTCGAAAGGAGGCCAGACAGTTTTCGGTAGAACTCGTCCTTCACTTCATCCAAATTGTAGTCAGTGGGTGCGTAAGCAGAGATTACCAAGAGACAGTGGTGAGTTTCTCTGTCCCTTTTAGTTTTTCCTGTGCCATGTAGCCGGACAGCCAATAGGCCAAAGTCAACTAAGCTTCCTGCCCTATTGCTTAATGCTATCGCTACACCTGCAAGACCTCCAGAGCTAGCCATCGAATCTCCAGAAACTCGAAGGGTGAATTTCGCAGATTCACCAGATTGGCCTGGAGATGCTAGGTGAATAACCACACTTGCGTCCTGTATGCAAGCTTCACAAATGCAGTACACATTCATGGTCTGAGTCGCTAGAGTCCTTTGCGAATGAAGCCTGTTGACCAATTTGATAGAGGGTGCAGACATTGAAGGCCCGGATGTATAATTTGGATCATAGTTTAAGGAGACCAGGAATGCGGTTCTGTGGATTCAGATCGTTGTCTTAGGATGCAGAGCACCGTTGAAGTCTATTTCTTCTTAAGGTACCTGAAAGAGATTTGTGTCACCGTAGAACCCATCGGACATGTGTTTGAGATCTGTAACACGCAGCGTTTTATGTATGGTTGTTTTGGGACCGGATGGTCGAAAAAGAAACGACAAATGAACCAACATGGTCGGCCTGGCAGACCGTAGGACATGGTGAAGTGTGTTATTTTTCGGGGCCGACCTTTTCTAACCCTCCCCTTCCACTAAGAAGGCAGCATCAGCATTGCACTGCTGGTCATCCGAAAAAAAACATCTTACTGCTGTCACACTCCATCCAGCTAGCAGCAGTACGACTTCACCGTCAGACTTCCATCATGGTGTTGTAATTTACGGCATAACAATAACTGCTTTTTGTCTAACCGCTATCCAACAGACCTTTTTGGTATGCTAAAACCTTGTAAGAAACATGTGTTCCACCAGCATAGTTCGTTGTTGAGTCATTGCGATATTCAAACCCGACTACTACATCAACGTAGCAGCTATCAGTCGAACTGTGACACAATGGTTGATAGTCATCTCTCAAAGCCATAGCTTCCTAGTGACTACTCATCTTTTTTTTTCTTCCTTGTTAAGACGAAATAGTTAACTGTATGTTTGTTATTGTTTATTCTCTGCAGGTAGTTCTTCCTACTTTCATTTGGAAGAATATTCTTTATTAGAGATGTTTGCTAATTATATGATACATCCAAATCTCTTTTGCAGGTGGGTTATTTTTTTTTCTTGTTCCAGGTATTGGTGTAAAGAAAAATTGTGTATGATTTTTCCTTCCTTTTTTTCTTTATTTTACTTCAAACAACTAAGTTAACCTTCTATTTTACATGTATAAGACGTCTATATCCATGGGTACTATGCAGCTTGAAACTTGTCTATTACCTTCACAGAATACCAGTGCCTTATTTATTTGATTTGTCTAATGTTCACAGGATCTGTTCATGTAGAGTACACAAACAATGGAGGAAAGTTATCGGGATTGATACAACTGAAGAGAACTAAAATTTTACTTTATTTACTGGTTCAAGTTGATATTCATCATGATTGACATGATTTAGAGGAATATTCGAAACCTGAGACACTGGACAACCGTTTCATCCTAGTATAGGACTCTTCAGAAGTGCGCACTCACAACCCCGCTAAGGATTGAACCCGTAATCTTCAGTCCATGGTGAATACTAACTTGAAAAAGCTCTAAATCCACACAAACCCTCCAAATTCAATTATGTAGTAGTTTTTATTTATATAAGTGCTTCAAAGGTCAGATGAAGGGTACTAGGCAAGTCAATTGATAAAGTTGTGAACCTTAGTTGATTGAGATGGTTTGATTATGTTTGTGCGTGCCGAATCATCACCTATCTTGACGTGTAATGTTAAGGAAAGTTGCTTTAGGTTGTAAGAAGACTCACAGTGGTCAGATGAAGACGTGACACCAGTCGATAAAGTCCCTGACTATTGATCTGAGCCATGTAAAGGGATGTATACTACCTGACTGGGCTCCTTGTGATGAAAGGAATGAGTCGTTGAGAAGTCTTGGTGATCCAGCTGACAATCGGTTACAATGATGGCAAAGATGTATTCACTCTTTGACGTCTTCTGAAGCTTGAATATTTGCACTAATGTCACAAAACTCTATCTGCTTTTATATCAATCCTTTTTATCCATTCTGTTCTTTGTATACTACTGTTGAAGTGTGAGGACGTGAAGCAGTGGGTCTGTATGCGAGGTTCCACGTTGAGTCTGCATGTGTATCTATTACTATTATCTATGCGTATTCAGATTTCATCGAAAACTATTCTTCTTAAACCTATATGTCTCTGAAACATGGCCATTGAAGGTGGAAGATATGAGAATGCTTCAGGTGTTTGACCACCGTTGCCTTCGTAATACAGGCCGTATTCAATGGTGTCACCACGTGAGTAACGCAGAAGTCTGGTGTAGAGTTTTATGTCGGAGAAGTAAGTTAGTTGACACGGTTGTGAACCTTCATCGATTGCGATGGTTGGGACATGTCACCGTCTGCTTCGTCATATAAAGTTGGCCGAAGTAGGTTCAGGCTAGAAAAAGACTCCAGACGACCACACTTAAACATGGCATCAATGTGTGAAGTCTTTGACTGTTGGTTTAAGCCATATGGGGTGATGCAGACTAGGTGGTTTGGGTATGTAGGACAAGAGGAACCAGTGGTTGGAGACTCTATGTGATATGGCTCAGAACCCATGTCATCATCCCCATCTTAACGACTCTATACCGAATCTCACCATTTTCTCATTCTTCCTTCCTCTCTTTTCGTACTTTATGTTTCTTTTGACTGAATTTTCTTATCTTCATCTTCCACTTCACTTTTTATTTGATGTACTGATATGTGGTGTGATAAGTCGGATCGTTAGGCAGTAATGCCTGGTTCTAGGTTGCTTTGGATAGATGGTATCTTGTACATAGATAGCACTATGTTCAGTTCATCCAGCGTTCATTGATCGGTCATCTGCGAACAGTAGTATCTGACTTTCTGAAACATTTACCTTTTTGAGATGAGTTATACATTCACACATATAACTACTGATTAACTTCAATAATATAAGGGGAGTTGGTTGATCTTTCAAGGATTCACAGTAGGTGTTGTTGATGTATATACTGTAGATGGATAATTCTAATATTTATGAAACTATCATTTTCCGTTAAAAGAAAACAGTTTCAAGGGATACTAATGACGGATAGTGTCTAGCAGTGGAATCCAGGATGCGCATTTCATCCCACTTGGAACTCATCAGCTGGATGTACCTGCCTCCCAGTAAGTTATGTTGTTCCCATCGGGACTCAGGAGTGATCACTTCAAACACCAAAGCGTTATCACCCACTACACCACTGAGTCACGATAACCACTTCTTAACTCAAGTCCGAATCCTGATGGGAACAAAATCACTTACTGGGTGGGCAGGTACATCCAGCTGATGAGTCCAAATAGGACGAAATGCGCATCTTAGATTCCACTGCCACTAGTTTAAAGGGATGTAAAAAAAAAGTGAGTACTAAAGTGTTGTTGACTGTCAGTGAGAATTATCTGTAAATAAATTGTTACTTTTCTTCTATTACAGCACACTATAATCATTCCCTAAACATATCGATTTTATTTTCAGCATTACTGACTATGAAGACCCTGAAATGCGTATTCTAGCATTTATTCAATGGTATCTTACTACATTCCATGCTGGACATCAGGTTCGCTTCCTTACATTTCTTCAGTTCCTATTATGTATTCATCTGTAAAAGATTATTTTGATATATCATTGATTTTATATGATACATTTACATATTATATTCTCTTCTCATATCATTTTTGTTATAGAAGAATGATTGAATTTCCATTAGTATAATAGGATAGATGTAGAATACTAGGGGTATGAAGTGGATCAAAGCGGAACCCATTTATTCAACCTTATGTATATTTGTACAGTAGACAATGAGCTACAAATAGTGTGTAAGGGTTAGTGATATTTCACTTGGTTGTAGCTAGCAGAGGAGTCTTATTTCTGACTCGTCAGCTGGATGTACCTGCACTCTAGTGATTCATGTTGAGCCAAGTGAGACTCCAACCCCGTACGCATCACTTCAAATGCCAAGGCACGATAACCACCCCTTGTACAATGGGTATTAGTTGTTACGATTTATTGATGTAATTGTAATTCTTTGTTGTTTTACTGGATCGAATTGTTCAACCTCTATTGGTATTTGATCTCGTATGTGGGTGCCTCGATATTCCCGGAATATTAATTATGATAATTCACTTGGTTGTGGCTAGCAGAGGAGTTCAGGACTCATCTTTTGTTCTATTTGGCACTTCTTAAACAATTTGATCCAGTAAAACAAAGGAGAATTACAACCACATCAATAAATACTGATGGTTAATGATACTGGCCTAAATTTCCGCAACTGGAAGGGTTTTTTCTAGATAGCTGACAACTGGTTAATGACATTGTAAACCTGGTAACTGTATATCTCAGCTGACAGTGTTAGTATACGTAGGAATAGGAAATCTCTGAGTGATCCATTGAAGTCATATCACCAACTCATAGTGTGTGTGTGTATGGTTAGTGACCGAAAATCACCTGTATCTGTGCATACGCATTAACACCTTAAATGGGTAATTGTATAAGTTTTTACTTTGTTAACACCTGTTCTTCGAATTTCTTATTACAACATTATTTTATTCGAGAGAATATTGAAAACTACAGTCTCGAAATTTTGCACTTCCATTGCACTTCAGTTAACTTTCCATCACCGGTTTATAAGATTGTTAAAATAGGAGTAAAACTTAGGCACTATGGTCGATTGTAGTTCCATTTTAGTCTATTTATTAGAAATGTCATACAGTGAAAGGACAGTATCATTGACTGGATAACAACGTTTCGGAGATAATTTATTGCCCATATTCTCATATCAGGTAACTCCACAACATTGAGACATGGTTTATATGGTTCTGATCCTCTTTCCTTCTTTAAGTGACTAATAGTAGTAGTAGAATTTTCAAGATATCTGAGACAGAAGCATAATCATTTCTATTACTGAATGTACTTGGTGTTGATCCGATAAGCGTAACATAGGGCTTCAATATTACATCGCCATTGAACTCTGGTCTCTGCAATGTTTTCCACTTGGCTACACGACTGCGTAGAAGCTTTCGTTTCTTCCTCACACGATCTCCTTCATATCACCCTTGCCTCGGACGCCTGACTCATCGTCCCCTTTGGATTCCACTCTATGACCTGGCCTAGCACGTGATGTCCTCAAACCATCTTCTCAGTGTGTTCAATCCAATCCATCTCCACTTCCTTCCTCTGCATATTTGTTGGCTGATGGGTTTTTTCCCAGTCAGCCACACTTCCTCCTTACTTATCCTTATCATTCTCGCCATCTCATCTTCACTATCCAGTGAGTGTAGGTGGCAGCTGTTGTTTGTAGTTTGTTGGAAATGCTTTTCGTAACATGCCAAGTCTCTCAACCATCATATAGAATCACTGACTTACTTGACTGACAACATTAGTGTTGCAAATCTGGACACTCTTCACACTTTATGCTCACTGCAGTGCAGTGCAGTACAGTACAGTAGATCTTCACACTGATTTCAGATGAATGAAGGCTTGTCTTGTTATCTTTTCGAGACTGCTTTCACATCCTCATCTGTACCTGTGCCGCCTGTAGTTGAGAGGATGCTGCCTAGGTATGTAGGTGAAAGAAACAACTTGCTTTAGATTTTTTCCGTTCATGGTGTTTGGCGCTTGTTGTTTTTGTTGTTGTTGGTTGGGTATCTTCATCACCTCTGTCTTGTCTACCTCCAACTGAAGGAAGTCTCATCTTCGTTGCCTGGCTTCACTTCGCCTCTTCTGCCAACTTGTTAGTTTTCGCCTGTAGACCTTCGAGTTTGTGCGACATAACACGTCAGACATAAATCATCATCACTGGCGAAATCCAAATCTCCTAGGCTCTTTTCATCGGTCAAACAGCCTATGCCCATCCTCTTACAACTCCTCACAGTTGTCTGTTGCATGATCCTGTCCAATCCAGTCCAGTCGACCACAATCAGGAAGATCATCAGTGATAGTAGGTAGCAACCTTGTCTTTCTCCTGTCTTCAATTTAAAGACATCACCGAACTTTCCATTGTGTTGTGAATCACTTGGCATGTAGTGTCGTCATATGAATCTTAACAGTACGATACATTCTACTGGGATTATTAGTTATCGGCATTAAATTAAACCACTTTGACTCACCTAGAAGCAGCTTCATCCAGTGTATCAGATCCTTTGTCGATTTCTTAACCTTATTCATAATAGTATCCACTGATTCTTAATTTCCTCATATCGTCCTGTTTCTATATGCTCATTCACTTTGTAGATGTAGTCAGATTTGTTAATTACAACTGTTGAGTCGCCTTTATCCGATTTGTCAATTACTATTTTGTTATCATTGTGAAGGTTCCTAAGAGCTTCTCCTTCTGGCCTGGTTAAATTAGATTTCATTTCCTTCTGTTGTTTCAGTGTTAGAGCACACTGTACTCTTCTCTTAACTCATCTGTAATTATCTTGTCTATTGAACTTAACACTATTACCATTTTGAAGTTAAGATTGTTCTCTATCACTTTGTTGAACTTAGGACTCTAGTTGACAGATAGACAAGCCATTTTAAGTTATCAATCATTGGTGATGTGTTATTGTTAACTTCATTATTGTCGACTGAATGTCTATCTTTCTTCCATAAGTTTATTGAACTTCTTAATCTGAGTAGTTTTTCGGATTTCTTGAATGAGGTTCATCTTTCTTTATTGTAATGGTCCATCAAAAGCTCATAATCTTTATCACTAACTGTTTGTATCAGTTTACATTTAAGTTTTTCGATATAATTCCTGATGTTGTGCAACGTTTTGACTATTCTATGGTGTGTTTTTTTCTTTAAGATAGAGTTTACTGCCACATTCTATAGCTGCTTTGACTTCGTCTGTTGGAATTGATGCACGTAGATGTAGATATTTAGGAATGATTTAATTTCTGAGACATTGAATATACGATGGTTTGTGTATCTGCCTTGTGTCTGTGAAAGTTGTGTGAGTTTACTGGTTAGTCATCGAACAGGAAAATAGAGTAAAACTTGGGCATTGTGGTCGATTGTAACTCCATTTTAGTCTGTTTATTAGAAATGTTACACAGTGAAAGGACGGTGTCATTTACTGGATAACAACGTTTCGGAGATAATTTATTGCCCATATTCTCATATCAGGTAACTCCACAATTTCGAGACACAGTTAATATACTCGTAATTTTCTCTCCGTCTTTCTGATGATAAGGGTAACAGAATTTTCTAGATATCTGAGACAGGAGCATAATCATTTCTGTTACTGAATGTATTTAGTGTTGATTCGATCAACGCAAATTTGGTTATCAATCTCTCCCACCTTTCACTCAACTAAGTTAGTTTTCAATCCTATCGCTCTGTCCCACCCTACTGTGTGATTATGTGTAATTGCGTGAAGATCTACACACGAGTTTTTCTCTAAATTTTTTTTTAACTTTTAAGGATTTATTAATCTTGATTTAGGCCATAGTTGTGACGAATATGTTGAAAAAAGTTGACCATCGAGTCAGGGTTTCATCATTATAGATTATTTCGCTGAAGAAGCTGTAGCATACACAGCGAAACGTCCAGAGAAATCTTGTTTTCGAATTTCTAGTCACTCTGGGATTATATCGGAACTTGTATACTAAACATACTGAATCTTATGCGCTTTCCAAAGTCGCATGTCGAAAATAGGCAGGATAAGTTACATGAAATGGTTTTACTAAACGTAAATGTATTAGATGTTCTATCGGTCGTTTACAATTCTTACAAATTTGTAGTAATGTCATCCTTCAAAAGGAGAGCCTATACGCATCCACTAGATGATAAAAACCACACTATGTATTTCACTGTTAATCTGGATAAGTATGCTACTAATCTTTCTTCAGTGACACTATCCACAAATATGAAGGAAACCTCATTTCTTGGACTTAAATTTTCCATTCCTCGAAAGTAGTCATCAGATTTGATTATGTATGCACAGTTTGACAATCTATATGATCAGTTGAAACCACTTATTCTAATTTCAACTGATGATTAGGTGTGGCTGAAATTCAAGCTGGTGTATATCGTTTACCAGTTTTGTGATAGCCATCAAAACGAGAAAAGTATTTTAACTTCTGAACATCTTAGAGCTATATGAAGGAACTACAGGACAACTTCGATATTATTATCGTCAGATGTGACAAAGGCTCAGGGGTCATGATCATAGATGAAATCGAATATAAGTGTAGAATATAGTTGATTCTTGAAGATGAAAATAAATTTACTAAATATTACTTTTCAGAAGATGTACAATTGTTACAGGGAATCGTGATCGTTAATCTAATGAAATTGCTCGATATGAACATTATTCATCATCATCATTATCAACATAGGACCAGGCATTACTGTGTAACGGTCTGAGTTGCCACACCTCATATCAGCACATCAAGTAAAGAGGTAGTGAGGCGAAGGATGAAGATAAGTGAATGCAGTCAAAAGAAATATAAAGTACGAGAAGAAAGAAAGAGGAGTGACAAAATGGTGAGATTCGATATGGCGTTGTTAAGATGAGGATAATGTGTGTATACATCTGCGCCACTGACTTCGGTTCTCAGCCATATCACCTAGGGTCTCCAACCACTGGTTCCTCTTGTCCCCCCACCGACCCCAACCACCTAGTCTGCATCACCCAATATGGCTTAAACCAACAGTCAGAGACTTCATACATTGGTGCCATGTTGGAACTTATATACTAAACATACTGAATCTTATGCGTTTTCCAAAGTCGCATAACGAAAATAGGCAGGATAAGTTACATGAAATGGTTTTACTAAACGTCAGTGTATCAGGACTTTGGTCGATTGTAATTCCATTATTATTATTATTATTATTATTATTATTATTATTATTATTATTATTATTATTATTATTAGTCCCTTGAGTTCCTAGTGGAACATAGGGCTTCAGTTGCACGCCTCCAGTGACCTCTGTTCTCTGAGATCTTTTGAACCTGGTCCCACGACAGCCCACAACCTCTCATTTCCTCCTCGCACGACCTCCTCCATGTCACCCTCAGACGTCCAACTCGTCGCTTCCCATGGGGATTCCACTCGAGCAACTGGCCTGACGCGTGATGTCCTCAGTCGACCTTCTCAGTGCATGGCCAATCCATCTCCACTTCTTCCTGCATATTTGTTGCGTGATAGGTTCTTGGTTGGTTCGTTCCCAGAGCTCCTTGTTGCTTATTCTTTCTGGCCATCTGATCTTCAGTAGCGAGCGTAAGCAGTTGTTGATGAATGTCTGTAGTTTATTGGAAATGCCTTTCGTGACGCGCCAAGTCTCTGAACCATACAAGAGCACTGACTTGACGTTGGTGTTGAAAATCCGTATCTTGTTCCGCATGCTGAGTGCAGAAGATCTCCACACTGGTTTTAGGCTAATGAACGCCTGTCTTGCTTTTCCGATTCTGACTTTGACGTCCTCGTCCGTCCCGCCTGTAGTTGAAACAGTGCTTCCTAGATAAGTGAAGGAGGTTACTTCCTTTAAGTTTCTCCCGTTGACGGTGATTGGAGTTTGTTGTTGGAGTTGTTGGTGCGGTATCTTCATCACCTCTGTCTTCTGTATATTCACCTGAAGTCCCGTCTTAGCTGCCTCTTCTATCAACTTGTTAGTTTTTGCCTGCAGATCTTCAAGTTTATGTGACATCAGGCACAAGTCATCGGCGAAATCCAAGTCTTCTAGGTTCTTTTCCGCAGTCCAGTGTATCCCCCTCTTCTCGCTGCCTACTGTTCGCTGCATGATCCAGTCGACCACAATCAGGAATATCATGGGGGATAGTAGGCAACCTTGTTTCACTCCTGTCTTCACTTCAAAAGCATCACTGAGCTTCCCATTGTGAATTACTTGGCATGTGGCATCTTCATATAGTTGTTGAATGAGGTTGATAAAGGTTTGCGGTACTCCGTAGTATTGAAGCAGTTTCCAAATTACCTCTCGGTCGACGCTGTCAAAGGCCTTCTCAAAGTCGATGAAGTTGAGGTAGAGAGCTGATTGCCATTCTATGCTCTGTTCTATGATGATGCGTAGCGTTGCAATTTGGTCTGCACATGATTTGTACTTCCTGAAGCCTGCCTGTTCCGGTCGCAGTTTTGAATCCAGTGCATCTTTAAGCCTCTCCAGGATGATGCGGCTTAATATTTTACTTGGGGTGGACAGGAGAGTGATTCCGCACCAGTTCTTGCAAACACTGAGGTCTCCTTTCTTCGGCAGTTTGACAAGGTAACCCTTCTTCCAATCAATGGCCAGGTACCTTCTCTTCCTTCCACACCTTCTGCAATAGTGGTGTGAGCATGTCCGCTGTTGTCTCTGCATCTGTTCTCAGTGCTTCTGGCGGGATTCCATCTGGTCCTGCTGCTTTCCCACATTTCAGTAGCTTTATGGCGTTCAGGACTTCCATTTTCGTTGGGGGATTTATGTTCACTTGTAATTCAGCGGCTGCAGGTGGTATTTCTGGACGAAGTGCAGGTGGTGGTCGATTCAAGAGCTTCTTGAAGTGGTCGGCCCATCGTTTCCTCTGTTTCTCTTCTTTTGTAATTAAATTTCCTTCTTCATCTTTTATTGGTTTCATCTGTGTTGGTCTCTTCCCTGATAGCAACCTGGTTATTTGATACAATGTCGTCAGGTCTCTCTTACCTGCAGCCTGTTCTGCTTCACTTGCCAGTGTTTCGTAGAAGTGTCTTTTGTCTTTGCGTGCACTCTTCTTCACTTCTTTATCCAGTGTTTTATACATTGTGCTCAGTTCCTCTTGTCGTTGAGCATCCTTGCACTGGTTTATCTTCTGCTTCACCATCCTCGTCTCCTCTATCAGCTTCCAGGTATCCGTCGAGATCCATTCCTTGTCTTCTTTCTTCTTCCTTCCTAATACTGTTGTGCAGGTTTCTTTCCACATAGCTTTCAAAGACTTCCAGTGTTCTTCCACACAGGTTTCTTCAGGGATGTTCCTCGATGTCTCCCATTTTGTCTTGATGGCTGCCTTGAAGATCTCCTTTGTAGTTTCATCCTTCAGTTTCCGAGTGTTGTACTTGAATTGAGGTCTATCACCAGCTTCCTTGAAGGCTTTTAACTTGATTTGGAAGGTTCCTTGCACTAGATAGTGGTCTGAACCTACATCTGCTCCTCTTCTTGACCTTGTGTTAAGTAGACTGCGTCTCCATTTTCTTGAGATTGAGATAAAGTCGATTTGATTTTTAGTGTGTCCATCTGGTGAAATCCATGTTGCTTTGTGGATATCTTTGTGCCTGAACACACTGCCTCCAATCACCAAATCGTTGAATGCACAGAATTCTGCAAACAATTCTCCATTCTCATTCATTTCACCTAGCGCCTCTCGACCCATGGTTAGTTCTCTTCCCGTGTTGTCCCCTCCCAGTTTGGCATTCATGTCGCCCATCAGAATTTTGATATCGCCAACTGACGTCTTGTCCAGTGTTGATTGAAGTTGTCTGTAGAAATCCTCCTTTTTCTCTTGCTCTGCATTATTTGTAGGTGCATAACATTGTATGATTGTGACCTTTCTTCCTTTTGAGTTGAATCTTGCTGTCATGATCCTGGAGGAGATTGGTTCCCACTGCATGAGAGCCTTCGATGCTCTTGAGGACATCATGATAGCCACTCCCTCAGTGTGCTCGTGGTTGTCGTCTGGGTGAGCGGAGTAGATTATTGATTCTCCAGTTGACAGTTTGGAGAGTCCACTCCCATTCCATCTGCTTTCGCAAATCCCAAGCACTTCGATGTTATACCTTCTCATCTCGTTTGCAATCTGGGCTGCCTTACTGGGTTCAAACATGGTGCGGACATTCCATGTCCCCACGTTTACTTTCGCTTTCATCGAGAGAGAAGACACATCGGCCAATTGGCTTCCCGAAGGCTTTCACCAACTGGCGTCATTTCGCCTCTCCGATTCCAGCGGGGAATAAGTTTGTTTTCATTTTTTATATTTCGTTTGTGCTTTGAAGTTTCTTTAGCGGTTAGATTTGTTTTACGGGGTAGGGTTGCTAGCCCTATGCCCAACCTTCCCTCTTTACCCGGGCTTAGGACCGGCTAGTAACTAGTAAACTAGTTAACCAGGCGAGGTTGTAATTCCATTATAGTCTATTTATTAGAAATGTCACACAGTGAAGAGACAGTATCATTTAATTGATAAGGTTTCGGAGATAATTCATTAGCGTTATATATATGTAAAAGTTTTTTTTCCTGTCAGTAATTTTATTTTCACTGATTATTTGAAATTATCTATTCCCTAAAGGATACAGTTGCCAAGAAACCTTATAATCCTATTATTGGTGAGACATTTCATTGTAGTTGGATTATTTCACCTCATCAACTCAATAGTGGATCATGTTTACCAGAAACAAACAGAGATAATAGTAAACTATTATCTAATAACAATAAACCTATAGTTATACGATATTGTGCTGAACAAGTTTCTCATCATCCACCTATATCTGCTTTCCATTTCTATTGTCCTGCAAAGAAAATGGAATTGACTGCATCAATATACACTAATCAAAATTTCAAGGAATGAGTATTTCTGCTGCAATGTTAGGTAGAAGTAAGCATAAAGTTTAAAATTTATTTTGTTGTGATCATTATTTATGAAATTAATTATATTCTTCTCTCGTTTTAATGAATATTCTATTACTGGATCGAATTGTTCGATCTCCATTGGTATATATTAGCTCCTTTGCAAATGCTTCGATAACTAATGGGTACGAGGCTCGAGTTTTAGGAGGAACAGCATTACTCACCGGAGTGCAGGTGCATCCGACTGACAAGTCCCAAATAGGACGAAACTTGCGTCTTGAATTCCTCTGCTACTCACAACCAAGTGGATTATCATAATTAATGTTTAAGCGATATCGAGGCATCCGTATTGGAGCCCATATGCCAATAGAGGTCGAACAATTCGATCTAGTAAAATAACAGAGAATTACAAGCACATAAATAAATAGTAATAACTAATACCCATTATACAAGAGGTGGCTATTGTGCTTCCTTGGTCTGATAGATAACGCCTTGGCGTCTGGAGTGATGGGTACGGGGTTGGAGTCTCAGTTGTATCAACATGAGTCACTAGAGTGCTGGTACATCCAGCTGACGAGTCTGAAATAGGACGAAATGCACATCTCAAATCCTTCTGCTAGCCAGAATCAATTAAATTACCGATATGAATGTTTCATCTTTTCTTCCATATGGCTGTGAATCTGACTTGGTTTTCTCTAATTCGAAGGACAACTGTTTTTGGTAATACATTCAGTTGTTAAATGTTGAGAAAATCGGTAGCTGCTGATTTTGTCTATGAAATCTTTAGCATTCTCCTGTCATGTAGACACAAGTCGTTGTAACTATAAATTGCTTAGTTTGAAGGCTATCCAGTGATGGAGTACTAAATTGATGTTGAACTGCTTGGTTAAGTTCACTATCTCTGGCTCATGACTGCTGTAATGTGTTGCCTATAACAGGACGAATTGAATCTCTCCCCATCCCCGCAAAAAATGCACTTGCACGTTCATATTGTAGGCAATGCATCACACCTACTTTGTTTCAGGGCTAGTGATACTAAGTAGCTCCCATAGTTTCTTTAGGTAAAGTTGTGTTCGAACCCATGACCCACTGGTTAAAAGTTAACTCTGTAGACTAGTGATCCACGTCTTCGCAACTTATGACAAATAATTAAGCTTTGGTTAGTAGAAAACCATATAAGTCTTACCAATGAATGTAATGATACACTGTCATGTGAAGTGGTTGAGTGTGTTGACCACTTCACTTACCTGGGAAGTAGGACCAACCCCGGTGGGTTAGTTGCCGATGAGATCTCTGCACGGATACAAAAGGCTCGATTGACTTTTGCCAATTTGCGCCACCTATGGCGCCGCCGTGATATTCGTTTGTCTATTAAGGGTCGCGTGTACTGCATGTGCACAGCAGTCGGTCTGTTCTACTGTATGGCTGTGAGAGATGGCCATTGAAAGTGGAAGATATAAAAAGGCTTCATGTGTTTGACCACCTTTGCCTCCGTAGTATAGGACGTATTCCGTGGTGTCACCATGTGAGTAATGCAGAAGTTAGGTGTAGAGTTTTGTGGAGAAGAGGTAAGTCAGTTGACGAGGTTGTGAACCTTCATCGACTGAGATGGTTGGGACACGTACTACGTATGCCTAGTCACCGATTGCCTTATCACACAATGTTGGCTGAGGTGGGTCGAGGCTGGAAAAAGGCTGGAGGGAGGTGGCCAGACTAAAACATGGCACCAATGTATGAAGTTTCTGACTGTTGGTTTAAGCCATGTGGGGTGATGCAGACTAGGTGGTTGGGGTCGGTGGGGGGACAAGAGGAACCAGTGGTTGGAGACTCCAGGTGATCACATGGCTGAGAACCGAAGTCAGTGGCGCAGATGTATACACACATTATCCTCATCTTAACGACGCCATATCGAATCTCACCATTTTGTCACTCCTCTATCCTTTCTTCTTGTACTTTGTATTTCTTTTGACTGTATTCACTTATCTTCATTCTTCGCCTCACTACCTCGTTACTTGATGTGGTGATATGAGGTGTGGCAACTTGGACCGTTACGGAGTAATGCCTGGTCCTATGTTGATAATGATGATGATGATGATACACTCTCATCCTCTATAACGCAGATAGTTTACAGAGGAATAATCTTCACCTCTATCATAATTAACATCTGTCTTCAAAATATGCATTGATAAAGCTTAGAAGAAATACTGTAAAGTGGACAAGCGCTTACCAACAACTTGTGGTACTTATCGCATGACTTGTACATTCAACGACTCATTTATGTTCTTGAAGAATAGCTGTACTATACCGTATTAACTTGTTATACTTTAGCCATTGGCACGATACTCTCATAGGGTTGAACTTATAGATGAGCAACTCCAAAATTGAAGTCGAGGGCGTATATAAAGGATATTGATTGTTACATGCTATGTTGCAGTATTACTGGCGAAATCTCAGCTCGAATGCAATAGACCTGTTTAACATTTACCAACTTGGATTATCTATGGTGCCAGTAGACGAGATATCCAACCATCTGTTAATGTAATGAGTATACTACACTGCAGTTTGTTCTGTGCTAAATGTAGCCGTTACAGGGTTCTAATCACATGTAATCTTCATAAGATTACTTTCGATTTGATGGAGTCATCATGTGAATAATGCTAAGGTAAGGAGAAGGGTGTTAGGCAAGAAAAACAAGTTTTATTGATTATGTGAAGTTTCATCAACTGAGGTGATATGGAAATATGTTGCACATGCCGAATCACCGCCTGCTTCGACGTGCCATATTAGTAAATATTGTCTGATAATCATTACTAAACATATTTCGATAAAGTATTTGGTTGCTGGCTTATTACATCCACATAAAAAAGCTAAACTGGTTGGCTTTGGAATATTGTAATGTATGATTGGATTGAGATGGTTTTACAAATAATATTTTAACTTTGGTTTGGTACAGCTGTTTCTTTGTAGTCTGGTACTCCCCAGCAGTGCGTACCTATGACCGTGCCCCACTAGCGATCGAATCTGTGACCTTCAGGTCCTGCGGCCAGGAAATTATCATTAAGCCACATTGCTGAAATCCAGTGGCTGATACTTCCTACGTCTTTCATTTCATGGTGTATATACATAGTGCTTATATATCATATATGATATGTATGATAGCGATTAATGCCAACTTGAAAAATCAATAAATAAGTTTCTACAAATCTCCATATTGAACTAATCTAGTGCTCATTGGTGACTAGCTTCAAACGGTAATTCCAAAGCTCCAATGAGAATTCGTAACCGATGAAGTCAACCAATTCTAACGTGAGGCAGGGGGTATTTAATGCAGGTCGCGCTTTATTATAAACCGATAGAAGTAGGAAATGTGAATGGTTGGATTCCAACCCAGTGGCTTAGTGAACCTGATGTAGTCATGGGTGCTCACTACTGATGAGTACCATGTCGGGACGAAACAGCTGTCCATTGCTACAATGTTTCCAATGGTTCTCCAACCGATATAAGTTCTGAAACTAATGAATGAATCCTCATAAACCTACAAATTGAATCATTAACTGTAGTAATGAGGAGTTTGAGGAATGTAAAGAATATTCGTAACTGGGACTAATAGAATGGTGAGATTAATTTGTTCTGTATATCGCATTTTGTTGAACAAATTGAATTCTACTAATTTTTTTAATTCTCAATACTTGTATACATTTGAGTTATGATGTTTAGTTGACTGAGATGACTTGAACGTGTACTGAGTATTCCAACCCACCGCCTACGCTCAATATGCCATACTAGAGGAAGCTGGATTGGGTTGTAAAAAGCTTCAGAGTGATCACATCAAAACATGACACCAGTTGAAGATGTCCCTGACTTGTTGTTCTGAGGTGTATAGGAAGATTATAACACAGCCTGGTTGGTGTCCCGAAGAGAAAGGAATAAGTGGTTGAGAATTCTTGGTGATCTGGCTGAAAATTGGTTACAATGATGGCATAGATGTATTCACTCTTTGACTTCTTCTAAAGCTTGATTATTCTCACTAATCTTATGTTCAGATTGTTTATTCTGTCACACTACTTTATCCTCTTGATTGAAGACATGGTGAAATTACTTCTCCTTGTGTTTGAGCCTTCACTGAATAGTTTCAGAGATTGAAAACAGTTTACTTACAAATACAGGAGAAGTACTTACATGTTGTCACTGTCTTTCTTCGTAATATTGTTTTACAGTCTAGACAAATGTGTTAAGTATGTTCATTGTGCCTTTGGATTACTCATCACCCTTTGACTCTGTTCCTAGACCACTCTTGTTTAATAAGTTTGTCTATACTCATACTGAGCCTTGGGTTTACAAGTGACCTATTCTTACTTTTCTGTAACGAACAGTATACTGTCTATATACAGGGAAGCGCTTCACTTCATTGCTTATTGAAGCTGATATGCCCTCAGGTACTATACTTTCTCCTTTTCTGTTTCGTTCTTTTTGCATAATTTACCTTATTCTGTTGAAAACTAATTTTATTCAGTATGGCAGATAACCTGACGGTGTTTATTTCAGTTAACTCTCATTTAGATTGCACTGAATTTAAATGGGAACTTGTCTGTAATTAACCAATAGTCTCAAGTTAAACCCTTCTAAACGTCAGACTGTTGGTTCCAGCTTCAGGCAATAAACAAGACAAACTCATGTGAGCTACATAAGTCTCATGATGCCTGTTGCATTGATAGTATGTCTGCAGAAAGTAAGCAAACCGTTAACTATCTTGAGTTGAGTATTACTTTATGACCTTTATTGGTCATATCATATCTTGTTGACTTGTAGAAAAAAATCTTTCTGGTATAATTCAACTTCTCTTTTGGATTTCATCTATTCTTATCTATTGTTCCCTACTGATCTTTCCTAGTCTTCTAAAAATGAACTATGTTATATTGCGTAGGAGTTTTGAAAGCCGTCAGTAGGGGGGTGAGTGCTGTGTCTCTAGCCCAACTGTTTAATACTGTACTTAACAAACGTTTAAATTCAAGCAAGAAACTAGATATA